CAGCACAGTGCACACAGCACACAGCGCACACCACACAGCACACACCACACACCACACAGCACACACCACACAGCACACAGCGCACACCACACAGCACACAGCGCACAGCGCACACCACACAGCACACAGCGCACAGCACACAGCACACACCACACAGCGCACAGCACACACCACACAGCGCACACCACACAGCACACAGCGCACACCACACAGCGCACACCACACAGCACACAGCGCACAGCACACACCACACAGCACACAGCACACACCACACAGCACACAGCACAGTGCACACAGCACACAGCGCACACCACACAGCACACACCACACACCACACAGCACACACCACACAGCGCACACCACACAGCGCACAGCACACAGCACACACCACACAGCGCACAGCACACACCACACAGCGCACAGCGCACAGCGCACACCACACACCACACACCACACAGCGCACAGCACACAGCACACAGCGCACAGCACACACCACACAGCGCACAGCACACAGCACACAGCGCACAGCACACACCACACAGCGCACAGCACACAGCACACAGCGCACAGCACACAGCACACACCACACACCACACACCACACAGCACACACCACACAGCACACAGCACACAGCGCACAGCGCACAGCACACACCACACAGCACACACCACACAGCGCACAGCGCACACCACACAGCACACACCACACAGCGCACAGCGCACACCACACACCACACACCACACAGCACACAGCACACACCACACAGCGCACAGCACACAGCACACAGCGCACAGCGCACAGCGCACAGCACACACCACACAGCACACAGCACACACCACACAGCACACACCACACAGCACACAGCACACACCACACACCACACAGCACACAGCACACAGCACACAGCACACACCACACAGCACACAGCACACACCACACAGCACACAGCACACAGTGCACACCACACAGCACACAGCACACAGCACACAGTGCACACCACACAGCACACAGCACACAGCACACACCACACAGCGCACAGCACACAGCACACAGCACACAGCACACACCACACAGCACACAGCACACAGCACACACCACACAGCACACAGCGCACACCACACACCACACAGCACACAGCACACAGCACACAGCACACACCACACAGCACACAGCACACACCACACACCACACACCACACAGCACACAGCACACACCACACAGCACACAGCACACACCACACAGCACACACCACACAGCACACAGTGCACACCACACAGCACACAGCACACAGCACACACCACACAGCACACACCACACAGCACACAGTGCACACCACACAGCACACACCACACAGCACACAGCGCACAGCACACAGCACACAGCGCACAGCGCACACCACACAGCACACAGCACACAGCACACAGCACACACCACACAGCACACACCACACAGCACACAGCACACACCACACAGCACACAGCACACAGCGCACACCACACAGCGCACACCACACACCACACAGCACACAGCGCACACCACACAGCACACACCACACAGCACACAGCACACAGCACACAGCACACAGCACACAGCACACAGCGCACAGCGCACAGCACACAGCGCACAGCGCACAGCACACAGCACACAGCGCACAGCGCACAGCGCACACCACACAGCACACAGCACACACCACACAGCACACACCACACAGCGCACAGCACACAGCACACACCACACAGCACACACCACACAGCGCACAGCACACACCACACAGCGCACACCACACAGCACACACCACACAGCACACAGCACACACCACACAGCGCACAGCACACAGCGCACAGCACACACCACACAGCGCACACCACACAGCACACACCACACAGCACACAGCACACACCACACAGCACACAGCACACAGCACACAGCGCACAGCGCACACCACACAGCGCACAGCGCACAGCGCACACCACACAGCACACAGCACACAGCGCACACCACACAGCACACAGCACACAGCACACACCACACACCACACAGCACACACCACACAGCGCACACCACACAGCGCACACCACACAGCGCACAGCGCACACCACACAGCACACAGCACACAGCGCACACCACACAGCACACAGCACACAGCGCACACCACACAGCGCACACCACACAGCACACACCACACACCACACAGCACACACCACACAGCACACACCACACAGCGCACACCACACAGCACACACCGCACAGCACACAGCGCACAGCACACAGCACACAGCACACAGCACACAGCACACAGCGCACACCACACAGCACACAGCACACAGCGCACACCACACAGCGCACAGCACACACCACACAGCACACAGCACACAGCACACAGCACACAGCACACACCACACAGCACACAGCGCACACCACACACCACACAGCACACAGCACACAGCACACACCACACAGCACACAGCACACAGCACACACCACACACCACACAGCACACAGCACACAGCACACAGTGCACACCACACAGCACACAGCACACACCACACACCACACACCACACAGCGCACAGCACACACCACACACCACACAGCACACAGCACACAGCACACAGCACACAGCACACAGCACACAGCACACAGCACACAGCACACAGCACACACCACACACCACACAGCGCACAGCACACACCACAGAGCACACAGCACACAGCACACAGCACACACCACACAGCACACAGCACACAGCACACAGCACACAGCGCACAGCACACACCACAGAGCACACAGCACACAGCACACAGCGCACACCACACAGCACACAGCGCACACCACACAGCGCACAGCACACAGCGCACAGCGCACACCACACACCACACACCACACAGCGCACACCACACAGCGCACACCACACAGCACACAGCGCACAGCACACACCACACAGCACACAGCACACAGCACACAGCACACAGCACACACCACACACCACACAGCACACACCACACAGCGCACACCACACACCACACAGCACACACCACACAGCGCACACCACACAGCACACACCACACAGCGCACACCACACAGCGCACACCACACAGCGCACAGCACACAGCGCACAGCACACAGCACACAGCACACAGCGCACACCACACAGCACACAGCGCACAGCGCACACCACACAGCACACAGCACACAGTGCACACCACACAGCGCACACCACACACCACACAGCACACACCACACAGCGCACACCACACACCACACAGCACACACCACACAGCGCACACCACACAGCACACACCACACAGCACACACCACACAGCGCACAGCGCACACCACACAGCACACAGCACACAGCACACAGTGCACACACCACACACCACACAGCACACAGCACACAGCGCACAGCACACAGCACACACCACACAGCACACACCACACACCACACAGCACACAGCACACAGCGCACACCACACAGCGCACAGCGCACACCACACAGCACACAGCGCACACCACACAGCACACACCACACACCACACACCACACAGCACACAGCACACAGCGCACAGCGCACACCACACAGCACACAGCACACACCACACAGCACACACCACACACCACACACCACACAGCACACAGCACACAGCACACAGCGCACAGCACACAGTGCACACCACACAGCACACACCACACACCACACAGCACACACCACACAGCACACAGCGCACAGCACACAGCACACAGCACACAGCACACAGCACACAGCACACACCACACAGCACACAGCACACAGCACACAGCACACACCACACAGCACACACCACACAGCGCACACCACACAGCACACAGCACACAGCACACACCACACAGCACACAGCACACACCACACAGCACACAGCACACACCACACAGCGCACAGCACACACCACACAGCGCACACCACACAGCACACAGCACACACCACACAGCGCACAGCACACACCACACAGCGCACACCGCACAGCGCACACCACACACCACACAGCACACAGCACACAGCGCACAGCGCACAGCACACAGCGCACAGCACACACCACACAGCGCACACCACACAGCACACACCACACAGCACACAGCGCACACCACACAGCGCACACCACACAGCGCACAGCACACACCACACAGCACACAGCACACACCACACAGCACACAGCACACACCACACAGCACACACCACACAGCGCACACCACACAGCACACAGCACACACCACACAGCGCACAGCACACACCACACAGCGCACAGCGCACACCACACAGCACACAGCACACACCACACAGCGCACAGCACACACCGCACAGCGCACACCGCACAGCGCACACCACACACCACACAGCACACAGCACACAGCACACAGCGCACAGCGCACAGCACACAGCGCACACCACACAGCGCACAGCACACAGCACACAGCACACAGCACACAGCACACAGCACACAGCACACAGCACACAGCACACACCACACAGCACACAGCACACAGCGCACACCACACAGCGCACACCACACAGCGCACACCACACAGCACACAGCGCACACCACACACCACACAGCACACACCACACAGCGCACACCACACAGCGCACAGCACACAGCACACAGCACACACCACACAGCGCACAGCACACAGCACACAGCACACAGCACACAGCGCACAGCGCACAGCGCACAGCACACAGCGCACAGCGCACACCACACAGCGCACACCACACACCACACAGCACACACCACACAGCGCACACCACACACCACACAGCGCACGCCGCACCAAACGCCGCACACGCCGCTCTCCTGAGGCGCGCGCGGCCCGGGCGGGGCCCACCGAGCCCACGCGCCACGTGCGCGGCGCCTCCCGCCCCGCCCCGCGCAGGCGCAGGCGCCGCCCCGCCCCGCCCGCCCGCCCGCCCGCCCCGCGCAGGCGCCGGCGCCGCCCCGCCCGCCCGCCCGCCCGCCCGCCGCTTACCCGCGCGCCCGGCCCGGCGCCCCGGCCTCCGAGCTCCCGGCGGCCTCCTCGCGGGGCGCGGCCTCCTCGGCCCACGCGGAAGCCCCGGCCGCGGCCCCGGCGGCCGCCTCCGTCCCCGCCGCCGCCGCCCCTCGCCGCGGCCCCGGCCCGCTCGCGGTCGCCGTCTCGATCCCCGCCGGGTCGTCCGCGCCCGGGCCGCCGCCCGCGACCGCCCCGAGCTCCCCGCTCCGCCTGCATCGCCGCCCGCCAGGGAGCGCGCCGACGGCGCCACCGGAAACGCAGGCCGCGCGGCCGGGGAGTCGGGGGCGGGGCCGGGGAGTCGGGGGCGGGGCCGGGGAGTCGGGGGCGGGGCCGGGGAGTCGGGGGCGGGGCCGGGGAGTCGGGGGCGGGGCCGGGGAACCTGGGGCGGGGCCGGGGGCGGGGCCGGGGAACCGGGGGCGGGGCCGGGGGCGGGGCCGGGGAACCGGGGGCGGGGCGCCGGCCCCGGAGAGCAGGGAGGGAGCAGCCCGGCCCGCAGCGGTGCGGATCCCGGTCCAGGCCCGGTCCCGGCGCCCGTGGACGCGGGAGGAGGGGGCTGCGGACGGGCCCCGGGGCGCGGCCCCTCCCCAGCAAGCACTGCGCCCTCAGTTCCACCTCGCACGGCGGGAATCCAAGTCGGCTGGTGGCGCTGGCCGGTGCTGGCGGACGCGGGCTGGCCCGAGGGTGCGGGGGGGGGGGGGGGGGGGGGGGGCCCGCCCGCCCCGCCCCGGGCGGCCGACAGAGCCGGGCCTGATCGGGCATCTCCCCGGGGGAAGGGGGGCGCTGGGGGGGCTGGGGGGGCTGGGGACAAGGACCATTTATGGTTCAGCACAGAATAATGAACGGGCCAGCACCTGGGCAGCGGCCCGACAGCCAGACACAGCGTTGACAGGGTCGGGCCCGGCCACCTGCCTCGAAGCCGCTGACCCGTCAGAGGACAGACAGCCCCGGCACACAGGCAGCCCGGGCCAGGGCCGCCGGAGCCAGGACGCGGCAGTGGGCGGGGGTAAGTCAGCTTTCCAGGCTGACAGAACCTCGGAGAGTCTCTGCTTAAGAGAGCCACCGTCTCAAAGGCAGTCAGCACATGGAGGGCATCTCCGATGGCCAGGAAGGAAAGTGAGCATTTTATACCCCAGTGGCACTGTAAGGAGCTTTAGGGACTGGGGTTGGGTTACACACACACACAGACACCCCAAATAAAAAGAAACGGGACAATTCCTAAAATATGAGATGATACTTAGCATCCTCACTCCCTGCTACTGACTTTCAGATTCTTCGACGCGTCTACTCATATAGAAAATAATCCTATCCTCACAATACTCTGAACAAGGTAAGACTGCTCCCAACCAAGAGCACCAAGGAGCGGGGTCGGCACCATACATACTTCAAATGCCACCTGGTTTTGCTTCCTGTTTCCCTGCCGGTCCTACAATGATACAATCATGTCATCCACAGTAATACTCTTTTCTGCCCATAAGTTTGGCCCAAAGGCCCAATTTTATTCCTAGATTAACTCCTTCACTTCAAGCACTGTTACAAATCTCTTTATATGCCTCAGAGCATATAGTACAGTGACAAGTGGGGTTTTTTGTTTGGTTGGGGTGTTTTTGTTTTTGTTTTGCCATTCCTGGGGCCTGAACTCAGGGTCTAGACACTGTTCCTCAGCTTCTTTTGCTCAAGGCTAGCCATTTCTGGCTTTTTATGTTAATGTGGTAGTGAAGAGTTGAACCCAGGGCATCACACATGCTAGGCAAGCACTCTAAGCCACATCCCCTGCCCTGTGATGAGTGTTTTTTAAAAGTATGCCACAAGCCGGGTGCTGGTGGCCCACGCCTGTAATCCTAGCTATTCAGGAGGCTGAGATCTGAAGATCGTGGTTCAAATCCAGCCTGGGAAGGAAAGTCCATGAGACTCTTATCTCCAATTAACCACCAAAAAAAGCTAGAAGAGGTGCTGTGGCTCAAGTTGTAGAGCACTTGCCTTGAGCTGAAGTGCTCAAGGACAGTGTTGAGGCCCAGAGTTCCAAGTCCCACGACCAACAAAAAAGATAAAAATAAAAGCATGCCACAGCTATGGGTGGTGGCTCCTACCTGTAATCGTAACTACACAGGAGACGAAGTTCTGAGCATCATGGTTGACAACCAGAGCCTGGATAGAATCTCCAGTTAACCCAAAGAAAAGCTAAACTCAACATGTGGTTCAAGTGGCTCACTCCAGAGTGCCAAGGGGCCTCCAGTACTAGCTTTAATACTTAATGCATGCTCTCTCTCTCTCTCTCTCTCTCTCTCTCTCTCTCTCTCTCTCTCACACACACACACACACACACACACACACACAATGTGAGCAAAAAGGATTGGAGGTATATCTCCAAGGTAGAACAGCTGCCTTCCAAGCATGAAGCCCTGAATTCAACCTGTAGTACCCAGCCAAAAACAACAAAAGGCATTTTAAATCCTGTTCCATGTGTCATCTCCAGAGACATTGAGAAGTTACTGCTGAATTGCTGTATGTCTGTGAGTAGCATCTGAGTGCACCATTCCAAAGAGGCTAGAAAGCTATTGCTTTAAAATAGTCATCAAGAAGGGAAGTCCAGAACTTTTCTTCCTCACACATTTTCATTGACAGTTCTTCCCAATACCTAACCTATTGTTGCTACTTGTGTTTTAATATGCTGGCTCTTGCTGTATTCCTGAGGAGGAAATTAGGACGAACAGCTCACCAATGCCTTTCACAATAGCAACATGAGCTGGCAGGGCCATGTCCCAGGTAGGGACTGAACCTGCGATGAAAGCTTCCCGCTGTGGTTGCTATAGACACAACGAAATATGGCAAGGACGGGTTCAGGCAAATAGCTTCTATGAAGAAAGGGATTTCACAAAACCATGATCTAAGCACAGCTCAGAAGTCAAGACCTTGCTCAAGGAAAGAAGTTTATTTGGAGCAGTGTTACCCTCTTGATTTTTATGTTGTTTTGCTTCACTTATATTTTATAAACAGGGGCATAAACTGCCAGGGCTGGAAACAGAGGCTTTTGTTCACCCTGGGAACTTTGTTTAGTGATGGGCAATGAATCTGGGATGGTTTTGCATCTAGAAATAAAAAAGCTGTCCACAATAAGGAAAGAAGAGACTTGTACATTTCAGCAGCTATAAAAGTTCAGAACAACCCCCACACATTTCACAGCCTCTGCCTCCCCCAAAGGAGGCTTTCCTCCAAATACACAGTCTTGTCCTCAAAAAGCAAACTGATGGTTCAAGAAATGTAGGCAGAGTGTGGTGGTGCACATCTTTAATCCTAGCTACCCCACAGGAATATAAAGGAGGCTAGTCTGGGATAAAGTTCAGACCCTACCTGAAAAAACAAGCAAATGGCAGAGCCCCTGCTGGGAGCACAAGAGTCTGCGTTCAAACCTCAGCACTGCCAGAAAAGAGGGAAGAAAGGGTATAGCTTTTCCCTTCTTTTTTCTCTTCTTCCATATACACACATATATATATATGTATATGTATGTATATATATACACACATATATGCATGCTATGTAGATAAACCCTGGCCTTACTACTAGCCAGTCTCCCTCTCTCTCTCTCTCTCTCTCTCTCTATATATATATATATATATTCTTAATATATCTTAATATATATTTATTATCTCAATACTTAATATATATGCACACACATACAGAAAGAACATTAGGAAGTTGAATCCTGTCTGAACTGGGCTGGAGTACTGAGGGAGGGAGAGAGGCAACTGGAGAGGGGAGGAAGGGGAGTGGTCCTAAGAAGCCATATACATGTGTGAAAATGGAACCAGGAAACTAGATGAGACTGGGGAGGATGGAGCAGGGTGAGCGTGACTCTGACCAAGCTTGTTATATCCACAAATGGATATGTCAACATGAAACTTCTAGCCGGGCATTGGTGGCTCCAGCTGCTCAGGAGGCAGAGATCTGTGGATCATGGCTCAAAGCCAGCCCAGGCAGGAAAGACTGTGAGACTCTTATTTCCAATAAACCACCAGAAAGCCGGCAGTGGCGCTGTGACTCAAGTAGTAGAGTGCTATCCTTGAGCAAAAGAAGCTCAGGGAAAGTGCACAGGCCCTGAGTTCAAGCCTCACGACTGGCAAAAAAAAAGAAAAGAAAATCAATAGGCCTTAACAAATGTTGTCATCCTTGTGTCCACTCGTATTAAGACTGGCCAATAGGCAGGCTAGGAACTGCCTACACAGCATGCTTGAGAGTCATCAGAAAGATACTTCTTGAGGGTAGGTAGGAGACTGGTCCAGGCCAGCTCCAGCTGAAAGCATGTCAGTGCGGTGCCAGTGGCTCACGCCTGTCATCCTGGCTACTCAGGAGGCTGACATCTGAGAATCATGGTTTAAAGCCAGCCCAGGCAGGAAAAGTCATGACATTCTTATTTCCAATTAACCACCAAAAAGCCAGACATGGATCTGTGGCTCAAGTGGCAGAGAGCTAGCCTTGAGCAAAAAAAAAAAAAAAAGTTCAGGGACAGTGCTCAGGCCCTGAGTTCAAGCCCCAGGCCTGGCAAAAAAAAGAAAAAAAGAAAATCATAGGCCTCAACAGATTTTGTCATCTTTGTGTCCATTAGGCAGTAGGCAGGCCAGAACCGTCTACACAGCATGCTCTGAGATTCTCCTTGAGGGCTGAGCAGAGTAAACCATCCACATAATGCTGGTGGTGCAGGTGGTTATACAGTCGGTAGGATATTGTGATCCAGGCCAGCTCCAGCTAAAAGCATGACAACTCAGTGAGGTGCCAGTGGCTTAGCCCTGTCATCCTAGCTACTCAGGAGACTGACATCTGAGGATCATGGTTTAAAGCCAGCCCAGGCAGGAAAAGTCTTAACATTCTTATCTCTAATTAACCACCAAAAAGCCAGACATGGATCTGTCTGTGGTCGTAGATCCCTAACCTTGAGCAAAAACAGCTCAGGGACAGTACCAACGCTAGCCCTGAGCAAAAAAAAAAGCTCAGGGACAGTGCCCAGGCCCTGAGTTCAAGGCACAGGACTGATTAACAACAACAACAAAGCATGAAATACTCTCTGAAAAATAACCAAAGCAAAAAGAGCTAGAGACATAGCTCAAGTGGTATAAACCCAGTATAGTCCAAAACAAAGACAGTTCTGCCTTAACCCTTATCTCAAGGTGCCTAGAAATTTGTAATTAAAGTAGTATTCATTATGTTAAGGACATGGCTCAAGTGACAGAGTGCTTGCTTAGGAAGTTCAAGGCCCTGAGTTCAATCCCGGGGACCACACACAAAATGTAGCTTGTTTTAATACCATCAAATACCTCTGAAAGGAAAGATAAACAATAGCAGGAGTTACCTGTGGAAAGTGATGGAGCTTGGAGGCCCAAGTTGGGATGGAGACTTGAGTCCAAGGGGAGGCCCAAGTTGGGAGGGAGACTTGAGTCCAAGGGGAGGCCCAAGTTGGGAGGGAGACTTGAGTCCAAGGGGAGGCCCAAGTTGGGAGGGAGACGAACCCTCTATCATTCCTTCTCATTATCACTGAAATCTCTATCATGTATACACAAAAGGAACTCTTCTTTTGGTTTACATTTAGTACCCTCATTACTACAATGCAATCACTAAAACAAGGAAAAAACAGCTCTAACTACATGGATACTTAAATTGGATACTTAAACTATCATGATGACAAAATTCAGTGTAAACTTTAACAATGTATCCATTTAAAATAACTGTATTTGGAAATTGACTGTTATAATCATGAGGAAAAAACAATTAGTATTGATAACCTGATCACAAGATGGCTTAGAGGAGAGTTTTTCCTAAATTTACATTTGACATCAGTTGAAATTTTATGAGGAACATACTGGTTTATGGACAGAAAAAAAGAATAACCTAAAACATTCCTGTGACTTTCCTCCTAGTCCAAGAATGGAGGGAAGGTCATTGTTTTCATTTCTGAACAAATTCCAACCTCCTCCCATCACAGATGGAAACCAAGCCCGGGAGCCAAGTCCAGGCAGGGTGAAACAGCCTAGCATGGTCTTGGCTCACAACAGTTCGTCAATAACGTCTAGACACCTGCAGTCGAGCATGCAAGAGGCAGAGGCAGAGGCAGATCGGCAGCTCAAAGCTAGCCTAGCTACAGAGTAGATTCTGCACAGGTGTAACCTGTTTTCCCAGTGCACCACCATCAAGAGCTTAGGAACAAGATTTCTGCTCTGAAGGTCAGGGCAATCTGAAGTCATTTCACCTGCTGCCCTTGCTCTTTTTACTCCTCCCCAATAATCAACTCTTTTTCATCTCTCCAGATGTTGCCACAGAGGGCAGTCATTTCACACACAAAAAGGGTAATCATTAGTAATCACAAAGCGAAAGGAAAATGTCATATCAAAATATCACCAAAAGTGGATCCTGAGCACCTGGCCCTGACCACATTTGATAGTCCGTTAGACACGATAAAACAATGGTGGAAAAGAAAGTCATGCTGGTGGTTGAGCTACTGTTTCCTTTTCTTCCAGATATGTGCAGAGGACAGATGACGGTCTAGAACCTAAGACTTCATCCTCATGTAAATTCTTGCCCCAGGATGGAAGGAGAATCTTACCACAATGCAACCACGGCCAGTGGCACCCCGGGAGAAGACCGGCCTTCAGAACCCCGGGGGCTGTGGGAAGTCGTCACCATCGCCGCAGTGACGGCTGCAGTCAGCCTGATTACTGTCATCGGCAACGTCTTGGTCATGATCTCCTTCAAAGTCAACAGTCAGCTGAAGACAGTTAACAACTATTACCTGCTCAGCTTGGCGTGTGCAGACCTCATCATTGGGGTCTTCTCCATGAACCTCTACACCACCTACATCCTCATGGGACGCTGGGTTCTCGGCAGTCTGGCCTGCGACCTTTGGCTGGCCCTGGACTACGTGGCCAGCAATGCTTCTGTCATGAACCTGCTAGTAATAAGTTTTGACCGATACTTTTCTATCACAAGACCCCTGACGTACCGGGCCAAGCGCACCCCAAAGAGGGCTGGCACCATGATCGGCCTGGCCTGGCTCATCTCCTTCCTCCTCTGGGCCCCAGTAATCCTCTGCTGGCAGTACCTGGTTGGGAAGCGGACGGTGCCACCAGACCAATGTCAGATCCAGTTCCTCTCCGAGCCCACCATCACATTTGGCACAGCCATTGCGGCGTTCTATATCCCTGTTTCCGTCATGACTATCCTCTACTGCCGAATCTACCGGGAGACGGAGAAGCGAACCAAGGACCTGGCTGACCTCCAGGGCTCTGATTCTGCAGGCCAGTCTGAGAAGAGGAAGCCGGCCCCCAGGGGTCTGCTCCCGAGCTGCTGTGGTGGCCCAGGGCCCACCCCGGCCCAGAGAGGGAGGAGCCGGGCCTCCTGGTCACCCTCCCGCAGGAGCTCCTCCACCGCAGCGAAGCCATCCCAAGCCCCTGGCCCAGGCACTCACTGGGCCAGAACCGAGCAGCCGACGAGCTGCAGTAGCTACGCCTCCGAGGAGGAGCAGGACAAGCCGCCCGCTCACCCTGTCTTCCAAGTGGTCTACAAGAGCCAGGCCAAGGAAAGCCCAGGGGAAGAATTTGGTGCTGAAGAAGAGACCAAAGAAACGAGAGCTCAAACTGAAAACAGTGACTGCCACACCCCAAAATACTTCCTGTCCACAGCAGCAACTCACAGACTCAACAATCAGAAATGCATCGCCTATAAGTTCCGGTTGGTGGTGAAGGCTGATGGGACCCAGGAGACCAACAATGGCTGTCGCAAGGTAAAAATCATGCCTTGCTCCTTGCCAAGGCCCAAGCACGCTTCGGCCAAAGGCCTGGAACCCAACCTCAGCCATCAAATGACCAAAAGGAAGAGAATGGTCCTTGTCAAAGAGAGGAAAGCAGCCCAGACCTTGAGTGCCATCCTCCTGGCCTTCATCCTCACATGGACCCCGTACAACATCATGGTTCTGGTGTCTACGTTCTGTGACAAGTGCGTCCCCTCCGCCCTGTGGCACCTGGGTTACTGGCTGTGCTATGTCAACAGCACAGTCAACCCCGTCTGCTACGCACTCTGCAACCAAACCTTCAGGAAGACCTTCAAGATGCTGCTTCTCTGCCGCTGGAAACAGAACAAGGGAGAAGAAAAGCTGTACTGGCAAGGGAACAGCAAGCTACCCTGAAGTGCCAACAGCTTCCTCAAAAGCAGGACCACAGTCTGGTTCGCTGATTGTTCAAAGAGTCTGCTGTCATTTGGAGTCCCTGAAACATTTAACGATACAAGGTCTGCTTGATGCCAAAGGGTCACAGCCATAGCCACGGCTGCCTGACACCTCTAACATCTGCCAGTGAAGCAGAGACAGGCTCCAGAGTCTTCACACTTGAGTCACATGGACAGTGACCAGGGACCACATGGAAACTGATCCTAAAAGTTTTGTGCAGTATGTTTGTGTCTATGCAGTTGTCTTCTTCCAGTGAAAACGAGAATGTAAGAGTGCCGGTCGACCGGCTTCCGAGGGTATATTTTTTTCATAAGTAATGAGTATCTATGCTGCTGCTCTGGTGTGACCTGTCTGTACTGTGGTGTGTTTTCTTGCCTTCATCAAGTGAAGCTCTTGCTTTTCCCTCTGAGCCCACTGACACCCTGTGAGGCTCCCCAGAACCACCCTTCCTCTCAGAAGCGGGGGTCCAGAGGACCTGAGCCTGGTCAGACCCGGTGCTTCACAGTGGCCGGGGGAATTTTTCCATTTTCTCTAAACCAACATTGTGTGGAGTACTTAGTGCCCATCTGAAGTCATTCATCTGCTGCAGTCTTAGGGGGAGTTGTGTAAGAAAATGAACAAAGCTCTGGTGGGTGGTCCGGCACGTGCAAGGCCCCGGACTGGACCCCCAGCACTAGAGCAAAAACAAAACCCAAAAGCTTCTATCACAGTAATTCATGAACATTAAAGCTATAAACGTGCTTAGAGCATTAAGAGTATTAAAAACCAAAGTTAGCTGAAGTCTATATTTAAATGGACTAGAACTGAGATAAGCACAGTGTTAAGAGTACTTGCCTAGGATGCTTGAGGTCTTAGGTTCAATACCAGTATCAGAAAAAAAACAAAACCAAACTTGACATGCTCATTTGCTGACGCTAAAAATGAACAAACATGTGAGAAATTAAAAACACAGAGCATAAAAGATTCACAGAAAGAAGCAGTATAGTGATACCAATTAATCTGAAGATGGAATGCTCCTGCCAGACACTGATTGCATTTGCAGATGGATTTTAAACCTCTAGGCTTAAGCTGTGTGCAGCAGCACACACCTGTGCGGTGCACACACTTGGGCACTGGAGGCAGGAGGGTGGGCCATTCTCTCAAGAAGAAAATAAGTAATCTCTAGACTTCACTGAATGTAGGCCAGCTCTTCTCAACTTCATTTACCTCAATGGTGGAAGAAAGAGCTGGCTGTTTTCCTGATTAAGAGAGTCTCCTCCTACCGGTGAGGAGCTGTGTCAAGCCTGAGTGCCAAGGAGGCTGCCAGCAGGACAAGGCCAGTCAACCCTCACCTCTCCTCCTGCCCTACAGCCACTCAGCACTGAGAAACAGCTTAGATGCACCATGGCAGCTGAGCCTTTGTGAAGGGTAGGCCGACATCTACCAGGCGTTTAGTAGAAATACTCACTGGCTCCATTCTCTAGGGCAGCGGCTGCCTATGGGACAACAGGTGTGACCACAAGAGCAAACCTGCTCGTGCAGTTCACTCTTCACGCACGGCAGCAATAAAGACCCACCCACAGAGGCAGCATGGTAGCCCACACCGGGCAGACAGCCCCGCCAAGGAACAGAGAGCTCCAGTGGGAGGCTTTTGTTCCTTTTTTTTTTTGGTCTTTTTTTTGTCGGTCATGGGGCCTGAACTCAGGGCCTGGGCGCTGTCCCTCAGCTCTTCAGCTCAAGGCTAGCGCTCTACCACTTGAGCCACAGCGCCACTTCTGACTTTCTTCTGTTTATGTGGCGCTGTGGGATCAAACCCAGGGCCTCATGCATGCGAAGCAAGCGCTCTACCACTGAGCCACCTTCCCAGTCCCCTTTTGTTCCTTTTTTATGAAATTAACCTTTATCATTCACTTTGAAAGTCAGCCAGTTTTGTCTACGCATATTGACATGAACAAAAACCATGGCTCATCAAGCCTGGGGTGAAGTCCTCAGAATGAACAGACCCCACGGACAGGAGGGTGTGGTCTGGCCTCACCTCCTGTCTCCTGCGCCCCTACTTCTCCAGCTCTGTAGTAACTACGTACAGCCTGCACTCGCTTTTATACTGGATATTGTGTTGCTACCGATGTGTCTTGTTTCTCCTTGGCTGTGAACTTGATAACCAGTCATGGAATCTTTATTCTCCATACATGCTTTGCTTAAACAGACAGCTGTCAATGATTCTGGCCTTTGATTAGCTCCTTGGTGAGTGTCCTCTGAGGACAAGCTGTTGTTGGCATTTTGTAACTGTGAAATTTGTACCTAAACCTCTGGATTGCACTACCCAGTCGTCTGCTGTAAATACCAGAATTACAGCAAAACATTTGTATTGTACTAGCATTGATCTGGATATTAAAGGAATGTAATCACACAGTGTTCTAAGGCAGTGTTTAAATAAGAAAATGAAAGACAGGCACCAGTAACTCATGCCTGTAATCCTAGCTTCTCTGGAGGAGATCTGAGGATTGCAGTTCAAAGCCAGTCCAGGTAGGAAAGTTCCATGAGACTCTTTTCTCCATTTAACCACTGAAAAGCCTAAAGTGGAGCTTGCCTTGAGCTGAAGAGCTCAGGGACAGTGCCCAAGCCCAGAGTTCAAGCCCCACAACCGACAAAAAAAAGAAAGAAAGAAAGAAACAAGTTCAAAAACACAAGATAACTTAATCTCTGGATTAAGATTTTTAATATATGTAATGTATAGCATTTCATATAATTTATTTATGTCATTTTCTTCAGGACACTGTAATTAATTCAGTGACATTAATATTGACCTCATGTAGACAAAGATGAAAGCTGGGTTTTCTTGTGTACCAAGTACAAAACACATGTGTTAAAAAGTTAACATACACAACAGTGGTACGAGATCAACTTCCAGGATGACTCAAGTTTACAGCAGTTGCTTCGCTCGGTTCCCCATCAGGGCTGGATGCCCCCAGGCTGCTGTCTGTGCGAGTGACTGACAGCGGTGACCCACCTGACTACCTCCTTTTGCCAGCTCCACTTTTGCCTGTTTTACTGCTGCCACTGCTAGATTTGCCGGATGATTTTGAAGAGAAGAGTCTTGTCATGAACTCGGAAACATCCGGCAGTTCGTGGTTAGAGTTCAACATGTTCATGGACTGCTCCATCTCCTGCAAGGAGACAGAGCACAGACACTGAGGGCCTGGGACACCGCACTCCCCCCTTCCCCCCCTCCCTGCCTCCTCGGCTTCTCTGCACTATCTGAGGAGGAGGGAGAGAGTAGACCAAGAAAGAGGTAATAGTTCTGAGCAACAGTGCCATGCTATACTCCAAAGTTCTGTACTGAGGCTGGCACCATGGTACCGTGCTTGCCTGGTGGTGGGCCCTGTTAAGCCCCAGCACCAATGAAACAATAATAAAAATAAAAAGCATTTTAGGAGGTGGGAAGGTGGCTTAGTGGTATTAGTGCTTGCCTCGCATGCATGAAGCCCTGAGTTCGATCTCGCATGCATGAAGCCCTGAGTTCGATTCCTTAATACCACCTAAACAGAAAAAGCAGCAAGCGGCACTGTGGCTCAAGTGGTAGAGCTCTAGCCTTGAGCAAAAGAAGCTGTAGTCCTGAGTTCAAGCCCCAGAACTGGGGGGATGGGAGGGGGGGTAAGCATTTTACCTGAACACCATTGGTGATAGTATTCCCTACCACCTTTATACCACTAAGCATGTTGGTCCTTAATGACTGTCTAATGAATGCTTGCCTGTGGTTTCACTCAGCTTATACTTTAGTAAAGGACTTTTTTTTCTGACAGACAGTAATCGTATTCCTGTCTTTTTTGTTTGGCTTCTGCAGTACTGGAGTTTGAATTCAGGGTCCAACGCTTGCAAGGGCAGTGTTCCACCACTGGAATCTGGAGCTCTGCCTCCTGCCCCTTATGTTTCAATTATCCCTCAGGTAGGGCCCTGTGTTCCTGCCCTGGCCAGCTTCAGCTCTCAATCTTCCCACCCACCGCACATCTGGATTATTTATTGAGATGGGTTCTAGTCCAGGCTAGCCTCAAACCACCATCTCTCAGATCTTTTTTTTTTCCGGCTTTTTTCTTTTTGCTTATGTGGTGCTGAGAAATCGAACCCAGGGCCTCAAGCATGCAAGGCAAGCGCTCTACCACTGAGCCACCTTCCCAGCCCTATGAATACTTCTTATGTGTAGTCAGTTACAGTATCTAAAGCAAGCAACACCAAGGTCACAAAGCAAGATCCTGGCGTGACAGCAGAAGGCTTTGGCACTTCTGAGGTCTGTGATTACCTTAAAGCTGACAATTTTGAAAGACATTAAAAAACCCAATAAGCAAATACTACATTGTCTATCATTTCAAGTGGGAAACGAGTCTGAGATGGCTCTTCCCACAAAAGCAAAATTTATTCATAGACTTTAAACACATAGGTGCTTTTATAAGTGAGGCAGAGGAAAAAAATGATCAAGAATGAATCTATATGGTAATAGGTCTTGAATCATACAAAACTGGTGTTATCAACTCTAAAGTGAATGCTCAATTCTAAAGCTTTTTCAGTCAACAACTTTTTATATTGCCTACTAGGGGCAAAGTACTGTGCAAAAAATTAGCTTTTCTACTCAAGGCTAGTACTATAACCAGTTGAGCCACAGCTTCTCATCTGGCATTTTGCTAGTGAATTAGAGATAAGAGTCTCTTGGGCTTTCCTGCCCAGGCTGGCTGTGAACCTCAATCCTCAGATCTCAACCTCCTGAGTAGTTATATGGATGACAAACACTGGGCAATAACCTTACCCGTCTCATGTCAGGATCACTTGTGTTGACTACTTTCGGCAGAAGCACAAATATTAATAGTGGAAGAACCATCATCATAACCTATAGAAGGAAAAAAAATCAGGCTATTTATCCCCCATTTTACAGTTTGCAAAATAAATGGCATTTAAGATGCAAGGATAAAATTAAAGACTCTACTGTGTGCACAGCATAGAACTTGCAGCAATCTCCTCAATTCTACCCAGCTAAGTTGATTGCAAGATGCTACCTGTCTGACTGTCGTAGAATATCTCAGAATGAAGAATCTTGTCTATGTGTGTTTGGTCTATAGTGACATCCTACTTGTTTGTTTCCTTCTTCCTGAAATCTGGCATTGGGTTGGGAACCTCAATGACATGACTATGTGATCTTGGAGAAAACACTGTCTTTACACTGCTCATCAATAAACATCCTCTGGAGCCTGTAATAAATACATTTTCAGTTTTGAAAATGACATAGTACTGCATACAATTGTTTAATTTCAGAATATAGGGCTAGAGTTCAAGTGGTAGATGCCCTCAGTTTCTACCAGAGTATCCTTAGTACCACCAAACAGGAGGAGGGAGAGAGAGAGGGAAGGAGAGAGAAGGAATGAGGGGGAGGGAAAGGAAGAGGGGAGAAGGGATGAGGAGCAGGGGAGGTAGAGGGAGGGTCTACACGCATACAAGCTGGAGCAAACACGAAAATAAAGCTTTAAGTTTCATTGCTGATTTCTTCCATTCTACCTACCCTCCTACCTTTCTCTCTCTGATAACAGATTCTAGTTATCCCAGTCTAGAAGCTCTACAACGCCTAGAGTCTTATGATCTAAACAGTTATCAGTAAGAAATACAATCAAAATTTAGACAATTACAAGATAATAATTTAACTGCAAAAGCAGCTAAAAAATTTGTTTCTGAAGAATGTATTATTAGAAGCAACTATCAGTGTTGTGATGTTATTCTTTTCCCTACCTATCTGCCATCATAGGGCTGCTTAGTAACTCATTTATCAATGAACTAACATACAAATATACCAATTGTGGGTGTGGGAGCACCACACATGATCTACTTCACACTCAATTTCAATTAAAAACCTTCATCAAAAGTATCCCATTTCAAATCTACAGTAGAATTCTCACTATCAGTATTTTCCCCATCTCACAGGAGCTTGGAGTTTCCAACTGGCTAAAGCAAACCAAGGATTACGAGATGCGTTAGCTTCATACATACCATTGGGTTCATCAGGAAGTCTGTCCAGCCCCAGGACTCCCTTTTAATGAAGTAGGAAGGGGGGCCTGAAGACTTCATTTGAAGAGGGTAGGGAAGTCTCACCACTTCAGATGTCTTGATGTAATTCACGTATCTTGCTCTGACAAAGAAGCATCATAAAAGCACCCATAATTCTACTAACAGGATGAGAGCTGGGTCACAGACAAGCGGCAGCTACATGCCTGCCTAAGTATGCTTTGCACCTTCTAAAGAGGCGGCTGGGATAACAACCCTTCCACCCCAACACGGTTTCTGCAGTTACCTGCTCTGTGCTTCACTGAAGTACCATACAGTAGTCTGTGAACTGACAGAAGACATTACCCCTTAAAACTGTTCCACAAACTTCATGGTCAGATAAGACCAAGGAAGATGCTAGTGCCCTTGCCATGAGACAATAAAATGAACAAATAAATTTGTTCTGCTACAGTGAAGGCACTCTGAAAACTAGACATCCACACAATCATTCCAACCTCAAATGGGTTTTTCTGTTCCACATTCACAGCCTTCATTAAACCAAAGTTCTGTTCACCTCCATTTCAAAACCATATTCATTTACTTAGAAACTCAGAAATTCAGCCAGGCATGGTGGCACAAGCCTGTAATCTCAGCCAAGGCAGGAGGATCCCAAATTCAAGAATAAGATTACCTATCAAGACCCTGATTTAAAAATGAAAATTCTGGGGCTGGGAAAGTGGCTCAGTGGTAGAGTGCTTGCCTTGCATGCATGAGGCCCTGGGTTCGATTCCTAAGGACCACATAAGCAAAAAAGGCCAGAAGTGGTGCTGTGGCTCAAGTGGTAGAGTGCTAACCTTGAGCTGAAGAGCTGAGGGACAGCACCCAGGCCCAGAGTTCAGGCCCCATGACTGACCAAAAAAAAAAAAAAGAAAAAAAGAAAATTTCTGAAATTCTTTTTTTACCCTCAAATACTTTCCTCCTTTTTCTTTACCATGATCCTCATGTTGAGACAAACTCCACAATGTAACCTATTGTTAGCCCTAGAAACACTACATTTCTATTGCATACTAAATATTCCTGAAAGGAGGAGCTATAGAAATTTCTGGATCAATGCTGTATCACATCACAATATTAATGTTATTATCAAAATATTTCAATGAAAAACAGGTGATAAATAGTACTTCCAATTCAGAAAAGATAAATTATTCCTCAGTTAAAAAAGTCCTATCTTAGCCGGGTGCTGGTGACTCACGCCTGTAATCCTAGCTACTCAGGAGGCTGAGATCTGAGGATCGCAGTTCAAAGCCAGCCCGGGCAGGAGAGGGCAGGAGAGACCGTGAAACTCCTATCTCCAATAAACCACCAGAAAACCGGAAGTGGCGCTGTAGCTCAAGTGGTAGAGCGCTCGCCTTGAGCTGAAGAGCTGAGGGACAGTGCCCAGGCCCAGAGTTCAAACCCTACAGCTGACCAAAAAAAAAAAAAAAGAGTTCTATCTTGTTGGGCACTGGTGGCTTGTATCTGTAATCCTACTCAGGAGGTTGAGATCTAAGGATCTCTGTTCAACGCCAGCCTAGGCAGGAAAGTCTTTGAATTCTTATCTCCAATTAATCACCAGAAAACCAGAAGTAAAACTGTGGCTCACAGTGTTAAGAGAGCTAGCCTTGAATGAAGAGCTCAGGGACAGTACCCAGGCCCCGAGGTCAAGCCCCACAAACAAAAAATAATAAAATAAAGAATTCAATCTTCAATTCACCTTTCAATTCTGAAAAGAATACATGCAGAAGGATTCAACAGCCTAGCCTTTGATAGAAACAAATAAGGTGCCCTCACCTCATTTTTCCCTTTGAAGTGATATCCACTCGGACAGGATCAAACTTGTAAGCCGGAGAAATAACCTCCACAACATACGATCCGGAAGGCACATCATGAACCACAAAGCTCCCATCTGTCCTGGAAAAACGAAAGTCATATTTAGTCCTAGTGAAAGGCTGTTTGTAAATCATCTATTAATACCCAAAATAATACACAAACCACCACCACCACCAAAAAATAATTAGAAGTAACTACAAAGAGGAGGAGACGGAGGAGGAAGAAGAGGAAGAGGAGCTGGGGGGGGGCAATGGCTCACACCTATAATCCTAGCTATTCAGGAGCTGAGATGTGATGATCACAGTTCAAAGCCAGCCAGGGGAAGAAAAGTCCATGAAACTCTCATCTCCAATTAACCAGCAAAAAACTGGAAGTAAAGACGTGGCTGAATTCAAAGCCTAGTTCAGGCACAAATAAATAATGATGAATAAGTATTTCCAAATATATAGTGTTCCCCAAATATATAGTAAAGCAAAACAGAATCAAGCTGTAAACCTCGAGTTAATTCGTTCTTGGGTTGGACTACCTGCCATTGGGCCTTTTCTCTGCAGACTGCCTCCTCAGTCATCTCACAGAGGCTAGCTCAGGACACAGGTCAGCGCAAGGCCCTCCTCTCCTTTACAGGATCTCTCTCCCTCAGGCAGGAGGCAATAAAGCCAGAACTGCACTGGTGAATGCTTTCCTTGACTCTGAATTGTAATTCGAATGTATCTCGCTCTGTGGCCCACGCTGGCATCCAGCTCCTCTGCCTCCGGAGCACTGGGCATGGGTAGGCCCCACCATACCCAGCTAGACTCTGAATTGTAACTTGAATGCATCCTGCTGTGGCCCACGCTGGCATCCAGCTCCTCTGCCTCCGGAGCACTGGGCATGGGTAGGCACCACCATACCCAGCTAGACTCTGAATTGTAATTGAATGCATCTCGCTCTGTGGCCCACGCTGGCATCCAGCTCCTCTGCCTCCGGAGCACTGGGCATGGGTAGGCACCACCATACCCAGCTATCTTGCTTCTTCACAGCCACACCCAGTTATCTTCTGTTTCTTTACAACCATATCCAGCTATCTTCTGTTTCTTCATGGAACCCTAACTGCACCAATTTTAAAATATTTTTCTGGTCCAGAAAAAACAAAAATTCCACTAAACTGATGATTGTATAACACACACACACACACACAAATCAAAACAAATTTTTTTTTGGGGGGTCCGGTCGTGAGGCCTGAACTCTGGGCCTGGGCGCTGTCCCTCAGCTCTTCAGCTCAAGGCGAGCGCTCTACCACTTGAGCCACAGCACCACTTCCGGCTTTTTTCTTTTTGCTTCTGTGGTGCTGAGGAATCGAACCCAGGGCCTCATGCATGCAAGGCAAGCACTCTACCACTGAGCTACCTTCCCAGCCCCTCAAAACAAATTTTTAAAGTCAAAATATATGTTTCATTTTAGGTAAATACTTTACCTAAAGAGATAACACAAGTTTTATAATAAAAACATTTTAGTCAGGTGCTAGTGGCTCACATGTATAATCCTATCTACTCAGGTGGCTGAGATTTGAGGATCGCTGTTCAAATCTCACCATCTCATAAAAACCTGAAAACGACTTAAACAGCCCCAATATTATGGCTTATATACACAATAACACTAGTAAGAGATGGCATATGGTTTTAAGTCCCAAATTCCCTCAACTCCATGAGTCAGGTCCCAAGTGGCCTCCAAAAGTCCTGGCTATGAGCCACACCTGTGTATAGGTACTCAAAACAGCTATTACACAAATTACCCAATCCTGCTGCAACAAAATTGTCACCATAAATTCATCATATTACTTCTATTAATTATTATATAATGTTATGATTCTAGTGCTAATGCTAATGATGGCATTACAAATGTAAGAACATGAAGAATGTGAAACGGACTTACAAGTTCTTTACAAACACTAAATAAATGAAATAAAAATAAAAACAGCAGGATGTAAAGTATGAAACAGGTGAGTTTAAAAGGCAGTAACAAGGGTTATCCTACTGTTCATATTTTCTTTAACAGACATTATTACTAATATATTGTTTACAAAATAAAATGTTTTTCAACTGCTGGGTGTGATGGCACTCACCTGGGAGGCTAAGGAGGAGGGACCATGAATTTGAGGCTAGCCTGGGCTACATATTTAGTCCTAGAAAGCATAAGACTTTTTCCCAAAAGAACTGTATCCTGAAGAAGTGATTTTAGGATAATCTTCCAAAAATTTCATGGAAGACTTATCATTAAAATGTCACTAATTGGGGGCTGGGAAGGTGACTCAGTGGTAGAGCGCTTGTCTTGCATGCATGAGGCCCTGGGTTCGATTCCTCAGCACCACATAAGCAGAAAAAGCCGGAAGTGGGGCTGAGGCTCAAGTGGTAGAGCGCTAGCCTTGAGCTGAAGAGCTGAGGGACAGAGCCCAGGCCCAGAGTTCAGGCCCCACGACCAACAACAACAACAAAAATAAATAAAATGTCACTAATTAGTCTTGATGAACACCCTAAGGAAAATGCCCGATTCCAGTCCCTTCAACGCTAAACCGTGTTCTGATAGAGGCTGCCATTATTACTACTCTGAGGCTCAGTTTCTCAGAAAGGAACCCGATTTAAACAATCCGCAATCCAAAGCTAGCTGCACACTGCAGTCGTGTGGGTTCTGGTACGAGCCAGCAGGGAGGCGCTTTCCTTCAGAAAACCGTGTCCAGGCCTGTGAGAAGGCCGAGCACCTGCGGGGCGGGCTGCCGGCGGCCAGGGCCGGCAGGCGAGCGGGTGGCAGGCGGGCCCCGCGGGCCCGGCGCGCTCCAGCCCAGCCGTGGGGACGCGGCCCCGCGGAGCGCCGCCGGCAGAGGCCCCGGCCCCGGCGGGCGCGCGAGGCCGCTCGGGTGCAGCGCCTCCACGGGCCCGGCCGGCCCAGGGGAGGGCGGCCCGCGGGACTCCGCCCGGCCCGGGGCCGCGGCCCTCCCCGTCCCGCCGGCCCTCCCCGCCCCGCCCCGCCCCGCCCCGCCGGCCTCCCGCCCCGCCGCCCGGGGCCGCGTCCCTCCCCGCCCCGCCGCCCGGGGCCGCGGCCCTCCCCGCCCCGCCGGCCCTCCCCGCCCCGCCGGCCTCCCGCCCCGCCGCCCGGGGCCGCGTCCCTCCCCGCCCCGCCCCGCCGGCCTCCCGCCCCGCCGCCCGGGGCCGCGTCCCTCCCCGCCCCGCCGGCCTCCCGCCCCGCCGCCCGGGGCCGCGGCCCTCCCCGCCCCGCCGGCCTCCCGCCCCGCCGCCCGGGGCCGCGGCCCTCCCCGCCCCGCCCCGCCGGCCTCCCGCCCCGCCGGCCTCCCGCCCCGCCGCCCCGCCGCCCCGCCGCCCGGGGGGCTCACTTCAGAAAGCCGACGTGCTCTTCCCCATCCACCAGCACTCGGGCCGCCGAGATCCAGTCCTGCGGCTTCACCCCAGGAACGACGGCGCGCCCCTCAATCTTGAAACGGTCTCCCCCGCCGACCGGACTCCCTCCCGAGCCCTCGGCCGCGGCCCCCGGCCCCTCCGAACTCTGGGCGTCCCCCGAGAGCAGCAGCAGCAGCAGCAGCACGGGAAGGACGCCCCACAGAGCGACCGCCATGACAGCCGCTGTCGCCAGTCGGGCAGCCCCAAAGCCTCGGCGTCTGCAGGCCGCCGCCGGCCGATGTCGTCACCACGGCGCGCCCGACCTGCCAGCCGCGCGCTCCAATCTGACTAGACTACCGAGGAGACGGAAGTGAGGCACAGAGCCACAGGGGGCGGGGATTACGGGGCGGGCGCTCCACCAGGGGAGGAAGCGCCGCTGGGGGCGGGGCCTGCGGGCAGGGCGGGGCTTGTGGGCCGGGGGCGGGGCTCACGGGGCGGGCGCTCCACCAGGGAAGCGCCGCTGGGGGCGGGGCCTGCGGGGGCGGGGCCTGCGGGGGGCGGGGCTTTGTGGGCCGAGGGCGGGGCTCACGGGGCGGGCGCTCCACCAGGGAAGCGCTGCTGGGGGCGGGGCCTGCGGGGGGCGGGGCTTTGTGGGCCGAGGGCGGGGCTCACGGGGCGGGCGCTCCACCAGGGAAGCGCTGCTGGGGGCGGGGCCTGCGGGCCGGGCGGGGCCTGCGGGCCGGGCGCTCCGCGTGCCCTGGCGTGGCAGGGGGGCTCCCGCCGAGGGCGCGGCCTGTGCGGCGGAGGCTGCGTCAGGGGGCGGGGGGAGCCCCGGCGGGGACGCTGTCGCTCTTCGGCTCAGGGCCGGCGCGCCACCACTCGGGCCACAGCGCCACTTCCGGTTTTCTGGTGGCTCACTGGAGATCAGTCTCACGGGGTTTCCTGCCCGGGCTGGCTTTGAACTGCGGTCCTCAGGTCTCGGAGCAGCGAGGATGACAGGCGTGGGCCCCGGCGCCCATGCAGCGCCGGCTTTCTGAGTTGTCAAACCTCCCTCGCTCCAGCGGCTCCCGGGCCCTCCAGGGTTTCCAATCGCGCCTGGGCGACCGAGAGGGCGGGCTCTCCGGCTGCCGTTTCCGCCCGCCACTTCCGGTGTTTGGGTGCTCAGCCGCGTGAGGCGGGCGGGGCGGGGCGGGGCCTCTATTGCCGTCGCCGGAGGAGCCGGCGGGCCCGGGCCCGAGGGCCGGCGCCTCCGGCGAGGGTCTGCGGCGGGAAGCAGCTCGCTCGCGGCCTTCCGCGGACCCTCCCGGGTCCCGCTGGCCCGGTCACGGTCCGGGTCTCCCCGTGAGTCCACTCCAGAGGCTCTGACGGCGCGCGTCCCCTCCGCGCGGAGCCTGGGAGGAGGCGCAGCGCCGAGCGCGGCCCAGCATCGAGAAGCCCCGGGTTCGATCCCTCAGCCCCCCACACACAGGCAGTGCTGTGGCGCAGCCGAGCGCGGCCCAGCATCGAGAAGCCGCGGGTTCGATCCCTCAGCCCCACACACACAGGCAGTGCTGTGGCGCAGCCGAGCGCGGCCCAGCATCGAGAAGCCCCGGGTTCGATCCCTCAGCCCCCCCCACACAGGCAGTGCTGTGGCGCAGCGCCGAGCGCGGCCCAGCATCGAGAAGCCGCGGGTTCGATCCCTCAGCCCCCCCCACACAGGCAGTGCTGTGGCGCAGCCGAGCGCGGCCCAGCATCGAGAAGCCGCGGGTTCGATCCCTCAGCCCCACACACACAGGCAGTGCTGTGGCGCAGCGCCGAGCGCTCGCCTTGAGCCAGCAGCAGCTCAGGGCGCCAGGCGCGGGTGGCTCCCGCCTGTCATCCGAGCTGCTCAGGAGGCTGAGATCTGAGGATCGCGGTTCAAAGCCAGCCCGGGCAGGAAAGTCCGTGAGGATCTTGTCTCCAATTAACCACCAGAAGACCAGAAGTGGTGCCGGGGTTCAAGTGGTAGAGCGCTGGCCTTGAGCTGAAGAGCTGAGGGACAGCGCCCAGACCCAGAGTTCAGGCCCCAGGAACGACAAAAAAGAAAGAAAAAAGAATCTATTAAATATCTGACTCATGAATTTGGTATAATTCCTGTATTATGTTCAATGGTACAGAAAATAGCTTATTCCTAACTGGCCAGAATCAAACAGGGTGGCATCTATCAACTAGCAAAAACCAGCAACAAGGTATCATTTTCTTCAACAAAGACCTGGTCTGATTTGAGTGAAAAGTTCTGACAGCAGCTGGAAAAGGACTAATGTGTGGCAGCTCTAGAAAAAGATTTCTTTGCTGGGAGCTGGTGGCTCTCCTGTTATCCTAGCTACTCAGGAGTTTGAGATCTGAGGATCTCAGTTCAGAGCCAGCCTGGGCAGGAATATTTATGAGACTCATCTCCAGTTATCACCAGAAAACTAGAAGTGGCACCACTGTGGCTCAAGTGGTAGAGCAATAGCTTTGAGCTGAAGAGCTGAGGGACAGTGCCCAGGCCCAGAGTTCAAGACCCACTACTGACAAAAAAAAAAAAAGACTTCTTCTAGACTGCTCTCAGGGGTGACCAGCTAACAGGAGGAGGACAGCTGGCTACTTGGTAGAGATGGTAAGAAAGAGATTATTATAGTTATACAAGACTGGAAGGGCTGACTTTAATCTTGAGGTTTTGTGATTCTTTATTTGGAATCTTAACAGCTGTTGTTTTCAACTGTTTGAGATTTTAATAATAGTAGTCATGGAAAAACCATCATTTCTCACATGCCAAGTGAAAAGACTAAACACACATGAAAAAGAATGCTAGCTGTTACCATTTAGTCTTTCAACAGAAAAAAAAAAAAAAAAGATGAGAGTTCCATTACAAGAATTCATACCGTGGGGCTGGGAAGGTGGCTCAGTGGTAGAGCACTTGCCTTGCATGTCTGAGGCCCTGGGTTCGATTCCTCAGCACCACATAAGCAACAAGAATAAAAGCTGAAAGTGACACTGTGGCTCAAGTGGTAGAGCGCTCGCCTTGAGCCTCATACCACTGACTTGCCAATTCACAATTAGAGTGTAACTTTCATAAATAATCTGGAATTTATGAGTTGTGATTTAGCTATTTCCAAACTCCTTGTTGGCACTGATAGGCAAACTGAGAACAGGTGACTTCAGCGATGCTCACACTTTGGTACGGCGTCAGAATCACCTGTTGAGGTTTCCGAGGTAGACTTAGTGAACCTGGGCGTAGCCCTGGGTGCTTCCATGCTTAAAAGCTTCTTAGGTGATTTTGATGGGCCCCAAGCATGACAGTTGCTGACCTACCTTCGGAGCATGATATTTGTATCACATAAGTAACTTAAGCAGTGTGCAGGTGGTTCACACCAGTAATCCTAGCTACTCAGGAGGCTGAGATCTGAGGATTGCAGTTCCATGCCAGCCCAAGCAGAAAAGTCCTTGTGAAATTCTTATCTCTAATTAACAACTCAAAAACCAGAAGTGGTGCTGTGACTCAAGTGGTAGAGTACTAATCTTGAGCACAAAGAGGCTCAGGGACAGTGTCCAGACCTTGAGTTCAAGCCCCACAACCAACCAAAACCAAAAATAAGTAATCTAGTGAAGCTCTTAGGAAGCTGAGTATGAAGGTTGAGCTTCATTTTTCAGCACCCTGCTTCACCTGTGGTTGTTAGTCATAGCAACTTTCTTGAAGCAAAAAAAGGTACGTTCATCAGGAGACTCACAAGTGTTATGTCCACACATCTACAACAGTCAAACAGTTTGAATTGTGGCATCTCAGTGGAGTGACTTCACCTTGGTGAGTCTGTTCCCTTACGTGGAAATGGGAAGCAGAGTCCTTATGTCCAACTGTGCATCCTTTGTGATTAGCATGCACCCAAACAGACAAAGCAAGCACCCTGGCTATGGTCAGGCTCACCACCTGAACTAGTTGGCACACCATTCACATGGTGTTTGGCCTGTGCTTAGCTAGCATGCAGAAATGATGGCACACAGTAAACAAAAACTTCAACATACCTTCATCACACCTGTTAGCACTGGGAATGTAAGTTTTCTTCTCTGGAAACTTTTAAGAAAGCTGTACAACCAAAATAACTGGAAAGAAAGGGATTTACATTTGTCTTTACTTGTAGAAAAAATGTTTTGAATTTGGAGTTCTGTTTTGTATATGTAATTCAACTACTGTTGAGATAATTGCTTGTTTGGTATCTTTAGCATATAATGGCCGTGTACATACATTTTTAAACTCTCTAAGTTACAAGTTACTCAGATAACTGCTAATAAATATTACTGGAATGCACTTCAAGTTGCACCACTGTATGTCAGCTGTTTTCTTCTTAAAAGATGGGACAAAAGATTAAGAGATAAACATAGCTGACTGGAAACCCATACCGTATGTGACACGGCCAGCAGGGGTGTCAGCTGCTGCCTGCAGCTGAAGCAAACTATAAATATCTCAAAGTATTTGATTTCAAATATATATTGCAGTTTCTCAAATGTCACACTAGTTTTAGCTTTTTTTTTTTGGTAGAGCTTGAACTCAGCACCTATACTCTCATTATACTTTTTTTTTTTCTGGGTCATGGAATTTGAACTCTGGGCCTGGACGCTGTCCCCCAGCTCTTCAGCTCAAGTCTAGTGCTCTACCACTTGAGCCACAGCGCCACTTCCAGTTTTCTGATGGTTAATTGGAAATAAGAGTCGCATGTATATTCCTGCCCAAGCTGGCTCTGAACCACGATCCTCAGATCTCAGCCTTCTGCGTAGCTAGGATTACAGGCTGATATCTGACTTTTTGATACTCCAAAATTTAAAATGACACAGTATGTTAGAAATGCTATTTTGACTATATTACCCATGACTTTACTTATCTTCCTGTGTGGCGGTCAGGGTTCCTGTGACCATGAGCTGAATCTGTGTGGTCAACACCTGAGGAACGGCACAATCTGTAGTCATGAAATTATTCTGAACAAACTTAAGAGGACCAGTTCCTATCCTTAGCTACTCTCCAACCAAGTGACCCTACTCAAATGGTTAAATAAGAAGACTATGATAACAAACGAAATTAAAACAAAGAAAAGCTGTATTTCATCACCTTAAGTTTTCAGAGATGACACAGGTTTACAATTTAAATTCTTACATTCTGGAAGATGTCTTCAGAAATAATTCATCACTCAAACCAAGAGAGTGCAGTAATCTCGAATTAACCTCATCTAATGATGTAATAACCAGTTACTGTAACCAATGCTCACTGTAAGGAAGCTGCATGAAAGAGGTACACAGAAACAACTTGTGTATGCAGGGGATGAAACTGATTGAATAGGGTGTAAATGGGTGTGAAGACCTAAGAGTGTAACTGTAACTGATATCAGCCAATAAAAGAGAGAGTAGCTCAGTGTAAAGTAACATTTTAACATGTTTATAGCAAGACACTGAGAATTCATAGCAATAGTCACTAACTAGGTAAATGTTAAAGATGTACAGTTTTTAGAAACACTGAAATGTGTATCTTTGTCCAGATGACTGTCAGCCTTATTAAAGAGGATAGCTGGGTGCCAATGATTCATGCTTGTAACTAGCTACTCAGGAGGCTGAGATCTGAGGATCACCATTCAAAGCCAGCCCAGGCAGGGCAGTCTGTAAGACTCTTATCTCCAATTAAGCACCAAAAAAGCTACAATTGGAGCTGTGGCTCAAGTGGTAGAGCACTAGCCTTGAGCAAAAAAGCTCAGGGACAGCACCTGGCCCTGAGTTCAAGCCCCAAGACCAGCATAAAAAAGAGAAGGTAATATGAGCCACTAGTTGTGGTATCAAACTCCAATCACTTTCAAGATATGGAAGATTAAGAGTTGTAACAAAATTGTAGAACCAGGTTCAGAAACTAACACTGGCATTTAAAAAAATGACCACAAGCTGGGTGCCAGTGACCCACACCTGTAATCCTAGCTACTCAGGAGGCTGAGATCAGAAGATTGAGGTTCAAAGCCAGCCTGGGCAGGAAAGTCCATGAGACTCTTATCACCTATAAGCCACTCAGAAAACTGTTAGTGGTGCTGCAGCTCAGGAGTGCTAGCCTTGAGCAAAGAGCGGAGGGACAGTGCCCAGGCCGAGTGCAAACCCCACGAGAAAGACCAGAAAAAAAAAGAAATCACATACAGTTTTCTGGCATTCCATACTAACCATTAGAGGAGGTAGTAACATTAAGTTGGAAGTTAAAATACAAGGTCAGTTACCAGAACTGTAAACAATTCTAAATCACTGTATAGTAATTCTTGAAAGCAAATGTAGTGAAAAAGAATTCGAATTCATATAAAAAAATTAGAATTAAAAAAGCAAAAAAATAGAAATATTTAGTGAATTTATACTCAAATAGAAGCAGTTTAAAGAACACAGAAATGAAAAATATTAGAAATCTATGTACAAAAAGCAGATATAAATTAGTCAGCTCTGCACATTTCCAGTTAAACATTCATAGATATACATATTCATCTTTTTCTTTATATAGATAAATACATACGTGATAGGAGAATTGTGGGAAAAAATCAGAAATACTAAAAATACACTCTCAAGTTTCAAAATGTGTGGAGTATGTTTCACAGAACAACACTACATAAATGTAAACCCCTGATTTATTTCCATGATTTTCATCATGCCAGAAGCATGATTGGTTTTAATTTTTTTTTAAAAAAACAGATATTGGTATCCTATCACATTGGCTTATTAATAATTAAGGCATTTTTATACACAGTGTCAGTGTGGACAAAAAAAAATTTTAATATTGATTACTTACTATGGTGTTTCAAACTTTCAAAGTCTTTTCTACATAAGAAAATAGCTGCATCCATTATAGTGTTTCTTACAAAACACAAAAATTAATGATTGATTTTTGTAGTTCTAGTAATAAGTCCTCTCTTATTTCCTCATATAGTATAAATGATCTTCCTTTGCAGGATTGCAGTTAAGACCAGTAGTTCTTAAACATTGTTACCAAATAGCCAAGCATCCCAAAGCAGCAGGTGAACAATCTTCACAGTGCATTTCCACCTCTCTGAAGTTGGAGCTGCTCCTTTTGGATATTTTTCCACTTCAATGTGAAGTAGATTGCTACAAGTTTCATTAGTGGTTTCATTATGTGGCTTTTGAAAGAAAAAGGATTTTGATTTTTTCCCCCCACAGTTCACAGTTCTCAGAAGAGACCTATTTGGGGAAATCATATCGTCCAATGATGTTCAGAATAACCAGATGCTCCTTAGTAGATGAAATCTCTCAATGCAACTGTAATAAATAAGCATCTACATCCTTGAAAGATAAAAACATTTCATTAGCTATTGCAGTAACTTTATACATAACTCATTTTCTTTTCCCTTCCTAAAAGTTTCTTAGATTCCTTTTGTGATCTTTTTTTAACTCAAAGAAAAAAGACAAGTTTTACTTTTTTTTTCAGTACTAGGGTTTGACCTCAGGGCCTCCTTTTGAGCCACGTCCTCAGAGCCTTCAACTTTTACTTAAATCTGTATTTGTTTGGAACAGAGCTTGGAATAAAGCACATGTTCAACAAAAGCTAGAAGTACAGATGTGGCTCAAGTGGTAGAGCACTAGCCATGAGTGGAAAAAGCTAAGGGACAGCTAAGGGACCCGAGTTCAAGCCTCAGTACTGACACAAAAACAAAACAAGTTCTTGCACAGCATTCTGCAGATGTGTGAAAACATACTCAGTGGCTAATTCTTGTGTTTCCTGCCCCAGTCACATTAGTATCTCTAAGATTTTAGCATCACAAACACAAAACTGACTTTAGATTGTATTAGCACAGCACAAAATAATTTTACCAAGAGATTTGGAGAGTTTGTACATGTATAATAGTACTATTTCTAATTTTTGTTGTTGTTGTTGGTCCTGGAGCCTAAACTTTGGGCCTGGGCGCTGTCCCTCAGCACTTCAGCTCAAGGCTAGCACTCCACCACTTGAGCCACAGAGCTACTTCTGCCTTTTTCTGTTTATGTGGTGCTGAGAAATCGAGCCCAGGGCCTCATGCATGAAGCAGGCACTCTACCACTAAACCCCGTGCCCAGCCCCTAATATTATTTTTCTTTTCTTTTTTTTTTTGTCGGTCATGGGGGTTTGAACTCTGGGCCTAGGCACTTCTCCCTCAGCTCTTCAGCTCAAGGCCAGTGCTCTACCCCTTGAGCCACAGTGGCACTTCCAGTTTTCTAGTAGTTTATTGGAGATAAGAGTCTCATGGACTTTCCTGCCCGGGCTGGCTTTGAACCGTGATCCTCGGACCTCAGCCTCCTGAGTAGCTAGGATTACAGGTGTGAGCCACTGGTGCCTGGCTTTATTTCTAATTTTGATGTCTGACTTTTATGTTTAAATGTAGATTACCTTAGCTATATTACCAGTATATCCTGGAACCAAAGTAAGATGGTTTTCCTGTTCCCACAATCCACTTAATTGTTGTTTTAAAATCTTAATATTTCTGTGAGAGAGGAAAAAAAAGAAAAATGAGCACAGATAGAATATGGACTTTGATAGTAGACATGCTGAATTAATGAAAAGTTTTCCAATTTTTTTGTTGTTGTTGTTAGTCATGAGGCTTGAATTCAGGACCTGGGAGCTTTAGTGTTCAAACCTACTGCTTTACTACTATTAGCCACAGCTCTACTTCTGGTTTTCTGCTGGTTAGTTGGAGATAAGAGTCTCACATTCTTTTTTTTTTTTTTTTGTCTTTTCTTTTTTGGTACTGGGGATTGAACCCAGGACGTTGCACTTGCTAGGCAAGTGCTTTGCCACTGAGCTACATCCCAGCCCAAGAGTCTCATATTCTTATCTCCAGTTAACCACCAGAAAACTGGAAGTAGTGCTGTGACTCAAGTGGTAGAGCACTCGCCTTGAAATGAAGAGCTCAGGGACAGTGCCCAGGCCCAGAGTCCAAGCCCCATGACTGACCCAAAAAATAAAAATAAGAATCTCATAGGCTTTCCTGCCAGGCTGGCTTCAAACTGCCTGGAAGCCACAGCTCTACTTCTGGTTTTCAGGTGGTTAACTAGAGATAAGAAACCAGAAGTAGCACTGTGGCTCAAGGGGTAGAGTGCTAGCCTTGAGCAAAAGCAGCTCAGGGACAATGCACAGGCCCAGAGTTCAAACCCCAGGACTGGGGGGAAAAAAAAAAAGGCAAATAAAAAGATAAAATGAAGGGTATAATTCTGCTAGAAGAAGAGACTCTGGGCTCTCAAATTCAGCTTTCATGTCTGATTTTTCACAAAGTAACAGTATCTCAACTGAGTATTTCTCTGACAATGAAGAGAAGAACATAAATACTGAGGATCATGGGGCAAAATTATCACCTCTTTTAATTAAGCTGTTGCTCTGAAAAAAGAAGTTAGCATGGAGAGCTAAACCTACACTGGATGAGTTTAAAGTCAAGCTAAGACCAAACAATCATTGCCAGGGATGTTTTGGAAGGAGTTCCCAAGCTTAATGGGAAAGGAGATTGCAAGTATCTTTTCCCAATATTAGATTATATGATTTTGAATAAAATAAACCTGAGTAGTCTGAAAAAAAAAAAAAAAAAGAAGTTAGCATGAACTGTACTCACCCATCATTTATAACGTCTGTTTTGGATGACAGTTCTGACCACCACCTTTTTATTACTGCTTGAAGCCAGTTTAGACCAACTATTACATACCTGAAATGATATAATGGGACAAAATTCAAGTGTTTTCATCTAAGCTTTTATAAAAGATGGCATTTCCCCCTGCCCACAAAACACACAAACTCCTTGGTTTTGGATTTTCCCTTTTCAAGTCCTATCCCACTACTTTCAAGATCGATTTAATAAAGCTGGAAATTTATGTAGCTTGCGCACAGATGCTTTTGCAGTTGTTCAACTGCTTCCTAGCTCTTACCGGAGGGAAAGGAAACCTTGTGTCTCATGGAGCCCATCCCACTAAGCACAGACACTCACAAAGCACAACAAAGCACAACACTGAGAATGCCAACAAAAAAAGGATGAGCTGAGATTCAGATCAGCACTTACTCTTCAAATTTGCTTTTAAGTAATGACTTTACTAGAGGCAACAAGTCTACACAGCAGCCAAGTGAGACATACTGCTTTTCTTCCTGCAAACTAAAAGAAACACTAAGTTATAAAAACATGAACAGGCTTCCACTTGTTCTTTTTTTTTTTTTTTTTGGTCGGTTGTAGGGCTTGAACTCTGGGCCTGAGCGCTGTCCCTCAGCTCTTCAGCTCAAGGCTAGCACTCTACCATTTGAGCTACAGCGCCACTTCCAGTTTTCTGGTTGTTTATTGGAGATAAAGAGTTTCCCGGACTTTCCTGTCAGGGCTGGCTTTGAACCTCGATCCTCAGATCTCAGCCTCCCGAGTAGCTAGGATTATAGGCGTGAGCCACCGGCGCCCGGCTTCCACTTGTTCTTTAAGCTTACTTTTTTCTGAAAAACTGTGTTTACCTGTTGGTGAGCACAGGGAGGCAATCTACCACAACTCCAAGATCTTCTATCCTGTGAGTACAAAATGGGCAGCAATGCTTAGAGACAATTTCCTTACTTAGCTTCATTTAGTCACCATTGTGATTTTGAGAAATTTGCTCTTTCATAAAAAAAATTCCATCATCTGTGATGAGCCAGGTGCTGGTGTCATGCCATAGAGAAGGGACAGGGCTTGCATTCCACTGTGAGTGAGTGGTAGAGTAAGTAGTGGGTCAGAGACAGATCGTAAGCAAATAAATAAAATATAGAGATTGGCCATGGTAAATGCTACATAGAGAAATGAAAGAATGTGGGAGATTATTTTTAAATAAGGTGGCTAACAAAGCCCTTGTTCAAATCTGAGAGATTTGAATATAAGAAAAGAGTGCTTAAAATTCCCACTCAAGCCTGGATGCCAATGGCTCACACCTGTAATCCTACTCAAGAGGCTGAGATCTGAGGATCACAGTTCAAAGCCAGCCTGGGCAGGAAAGTCCCTGAGACTCTTATCTCCAATTAACCACCAGAAAGCCAGTGTGGCTCAAGTGGTAGAGTACTCACTTTGCACTAAAGAGCTCAGGGACAGCACCCAGGCCCAGAGTTTAAGTCCTAGTTCCAACAACAACAACAAAAAGCTTAGTTCGGGCTGGGAATGAGGCTTAGTGGTGGAGTGATTGCCTAGCATGCATGAAGCCCAGGGATAGGTTCCTCAGTCTCACATAAACAGAAAAACCAGAAGTGGCGTAGTGGCTCAAGTGTAGAGTGCTAGCCTTGGGCAAAAAAAGCTGCTCAGGGACACTGCCTAGGGCGTGAGTACAAGCCCCAGGACTGGCCAAAAAATAAACAATTAAATAAAAATAAAAAATAATAAAAGGTAACTTTTCACACCAGTATTGATTAGTTTTATAAATGAAAATCATAACCAGAAAAAGCAACAGCTGGGGCTGGGAAGGTGGCTCAGTGGTAGAGTGCTTGCCTTGCATACATGAAGCCCTCGGTTCGATTCCTCAGCACCACATAAGCAGGAAAAAAAAAAAAAACAGAAAAAGCAACGGCTTTGTTCAATCTGATAATAACAGATGTTTTTGTAGATTCTAGTTACTCTTAGATTTTGATGACTGAAAATAAATTTAAACAGTTTAAATTTTAGCCATGCAAACATTCTCTAAAAGGGCACTTCTAATATCACATTGAAAGTTACCTGTGATGAACCAAGAGAGCATAAAAATAAAAAGGTCTCTTACCTCACTAAGTATGCTACAAGTTCACTTATACTTCTCTTTCTCCAGAACGTTAAAGCTACATTCAACCTCAAATTCCTGCTGAATAAAACTTGAGCCATTGTTTCATGATCCTGAGAAACCTAAAAGGCAAAAAAACTCATTTGTTAAAAAGCACACTGAAGGCTGGGAAGGTGGCTCAGTGGTAGAGTGCTTGCCTCGCATGCATGAGGCCCTGGGTTCGATTCCTCAGTACCAGATAAACAGAAAAAGCTGGAAGTGGTGCTGTGGCTCAAGTGTTAGAGCCCTAGCCTTGATCTGAAAAGCTGAGGGACAGCGCCCAGGCCCAGAGTTGAAGCCCCACAACCGATACCCCCCCCTCCCCCCCCCCCCAAAAAAAAAGCACACTGAAACATGATATGAGAGTATATTTTTGAATTAAAACAGTGTGGGAGACAGTTTTAAATTATGCAAAGGCGATTCTTTATATTGGCCCTCAAAAAAGAATATTGCAGTTGTACGTATCAAGTAATGATGTGAACAAATTTAAGTCATATTTATCTTTGGTAACATTAACAAAAAGTAATTCAAAATATTTTTGTCACTGGGAATGTGTCTTAGTGATAGAGTACTTGCCTAGAATGCATGAAGCCCTGGGTTCGGTTCCTCAGTACTACAGAAGTGACACTGTGACTCAAGTGGTAGAATGCTAGTCTTTTTCTGTTGTTGTTGGTGGTGGGGCCTGAACTCTGGACCTGGACGCTGTCCCTCAGCTCTTCAGCTTAAGGCTAGCACTCTATTACTTGAGCGACAGCACCACTTCCTGCTTAATATTTTTTTGTTTTGTTTTCCCAGTCCTGGGCTTGAACTTAGGGCCTAGGCACTATCCCTGAGCTTGTTTTTGCTCAAGGCTAGAGTGTGAGTCTTGAGCAAAAGAAGCTCAGAGACAGTCCCAGCCCCTGAAATGGCTAAAGAAAAAAAAAAATTGGGGGCTGGGAGGGTGGCTCAGTGGTAGAGCACTTGCCTTGCATGCCTGAGGCCCTGGGTTCTATTCCTCCGCACCACATAAGCAAAAAGAAAAAAGCCGGAAGTGGCGCTGTGGCTCAAGTGGTAGAGCGCTAGCCTTGAGCTGAAGAGCTGAGGGACAGTGCCCAGGCCCAGAGTTCAGGCCCCACGACCGGACCAAAAAAAGAAAAAAAGAAAAAAAATTTGTATCCTATAAACCTAGAACTTTATAGGTACTTATAAAGGGAAATGGTAGACAGGCATATGAGCTAGTCATTAACAACTAAATGCCATGCGAAAGGAACTACACCTCAGTTCCGTGGCGCTATCTTTTATCATTTAGATGTTTCTACTTTTACACAGGGGAATATATTAGTGTTGTTCAATGTATAACACAGAATTATGTAAGACAAAAACTAAATACTCCCTACTGGCCCACAAAAACATGTAACATCATTTCCCAGATCATCTTTCCAAACCATTTTCTAGATAAAGGCAAACAGAAGTTACTGTGCTTTTGAATGTATGATGATATAAATATGACATTTTTCAATATCAAAACATCAACCTAATTTTGAAAAATCTGGCATAACCCTAGTCCTTATATGCTATTATTTATTTAGATTGATTCTATATTGCTTTTGCTTACTAAACCTATATAGTCAAACATCCTGACACATGTAAATACGTGCAAATAGTTTAAGATAAATTTTACAGGGAGGAAGGAGTGAGGGAGGGAAGTGATAGTAGGAGAAAAACAAAGGAGGGGGGTAACAATGTTCAACAAGAAATGTCCTCAGTACCTCACTCACGTAACTATAAAACCCCTCTGTACAGCATCTTTATAATAAAATAAAGTAAAATAAAAAGATTAACTTTACAGGGGCTTGGGAATGTGTCTTAATGGTGGAGTGCTTGCCTAGCATGCATGAAGCCCTGAGTTCAATTCCTCAGTACCACATACACAGAAAAAGCTGGAAGTGGGGCTGAGGCTCAAGTGGTAGAGAGCTAGTCTTGAGCAAAAGAAGCTCAAGGACAGTGCCCAGGTCCTGAGTTGAAGCCTCAGGACTGGCCAAAAAAAAGATTAACTTTAAGAATAGAATAGCTACCAGGGTTGGCTGAATAAACCCTCCTGTAGGCAATTTTGAGAGGCCACCCAATAATGGGTTTTAGTTACTTACATTCTAAGAAATAATCCTCCTTTTGCTTTCCTTTAAACCTCCACTGGCTAACTTACCACGCTGGCTATGTGTAGCAGCTTATGAAGCATTTTGTTCTATCTTCGATACTGCTAGTTTACAGAATTTTCTGATGCAATTTGGTTGGTCTAACAAAGCACCTCAGGAAGTTACTATCACTCAAAATCTGTATTCAACAGGTGGTAAGGTACTCTGCTAATAGACTAACAAGGCAAGGAAATGAAAAACAGTAGTATAATGGAATAAAGTCAAGCTAAAAATTATTTTAGAAGTATGACTTACCTCAGAAAAAAAACCACTAAATTTTGATGATGGGCTTTCTGTTTGTGAAGAACCAGCTTCACTGGAGTTAACCAAGTACGTTCGACTATCATGGTGTGACTTTTCAGGCAGATGGCCTGCACAAGCCAGCTCATTTTCTTTATTTGCCATGTCACAGCCCCCACTTGGAAGGGACTGTCTTTTTCTGTAACAAGGATTTGGGAAGGGATGATAAACTTTTTTTCTGTGATAGATCACTTTACGTAGTTTATCTGGGCTTTTCACAGCTTTTCCCACTGTTCTGTAAAAAAAGAATTCATTTTCTTAAGTGAAAAAATATGTAAATGTTTGAAAGTTCTAAAAATAAATTCAGTCATATTTTGTAATTATAATCCATTAAAAGCAGATGTAACTAAAAGTTACAAATTATATAGAAGGCAACATAATGTATGTGATATGTTCTAGCAAAGTGACAACTGCAGTTTAATATTTTAAACTATTTTAATAAAGCTTATGTACATTTGAGTATGACAGATACAATAGAACAAATTTCATAGGATAGAGTGCTTTTAACCATGTTTCAAACGTTTTGGTATGGTTTATACTCATAAAAATTTTGAGGACTGGGCTGGGAAGGTGGCTCAGTGGTAGAGTGCTAGCCTGAGGCTCTGGGTTCAATTCCTTAGCACCACATAAGCAGAAAAAGCCAGAAGTGGTGCTGAGACTCAAGTGGTAGAGCGCTCACCTTGAGCTGAAGAGCTGAGGGATAGCACCCAGGCCTAGAGTTCAGGCCCCATGACCAGCAAAAAACCCTGGAAGTGGCGCTGTGGCTCAAGTGATAGAGCACTTGCCTTGAGCAGAAGAGCTCAGGAACAGTGCCCAGGCCCAGAGTTCAAGCCCCATGACCGGCAAAAAAAAAAAAGTGTATGTGTGTGTGTGTGTGTGTGTGTGTGTGTATATATATATATATATATTTTTTTTTTTTTTTTTTTTTTTTTTTTTTTGGAGGACTTCCAGACACAGGTGGCTCATACCTATAATCCTAGCTACTCAGAGGCTAAGATCAGAGGATCATGGTTCCAAGCCAGCCCATGAGATTCTTTTTGTTGTTGTTTTCGTTCATTTTGTCAATTGTGGGGCTTGAACTCTGGGCCTGGGCACTGTCCCTCTGCTCTTCAGCTCAAGGCAAGCACTCTACCAAATGAGCCACAGCACCACTTCTGGTTTTCTGGTGATTTATGAGAGGTAAAGAGTCTCATGCAGCTGGACGCCGGTGGCTCAGGAGGCTGAGAGCTGAGGATGGCGGTTCAAAGCCAGCCCGGGCAGGAAAGTCCGTGAGACTCTTATCTCTAATAAACCACTAGAAAGCTGGAAGTGGCACTGTGGCTCAAGCGGTAGAGCACTTGCCTTGAGCTGAAGCGGGGAGGGACAGCACCGAAGCCCAGAGTTCAAGCCCCATGACCAGCAAAACAAAAAACAAAAAACAAGAGTAGTTAGGATTACGGTGTGAGCCACTGGCACCAGGGATATGAGACTTATCTCCAATAAACCACCAAAGAAGCCTGCTAGAGCTGTGGCTCAGTGGTGGAGGGATAGCTTGAACACGAAAGAAGCTCCAGGACAGTGCCTCAGCCCCAGAACCAGCACAAAATAAAGAAAGAAAGAAATTTTTTGAGGACTGGGGAGTCTTTAATCCTGTTTTCTGAGCCGGGCGCTGGTGGCTCACACCTGTAATCCTAGCCACTCAGGAGGCTGAGATCTGAGGATCACGGTTCAAAGTCAGCCCAGGCAAGAAAGTCCGTGAGACTATTATCTCCAATAAACCACCAGAAAAACAGGAAGTGGGACTGTAGCTCAAGTGGTAGAGCGCTCGCCTTGAGCTGAAGAGCTGAGGGACAGCGCCTAGGCCCAGGGTTCAAGCCCCATGACCGATCAAAAAAAAAAAAAAATCCTGTTTTCTGAATGAGGAACAGAAATGTTTGTTTCTCTTTTCCATTTCTACCTACTTTGACCTTATGAAACTAAAATCGTTGCTAATTTTTTTTTTTGGGGGGGGGAGGGGGTCCGGTCATGGGGCCTGAACTCTGGGCCTGGGCGCTGTCCCTCAGCTCTTCAGCTCAAGGCTAGCGCTCTACCACTTGAGCCACAGCGCCACTTCCGGCTTTTTTTCTTTTTGCTTATGTGGCACTGAGGAATCGAACCTAGGGCCTCAGGCATGCAAGGCAAGCGCTCTACCACTGAGCCACCTTCCCAGCCCCTTGCTAATTTTTTTTAATGAAGACTGGGTGGGGAGGGGATAAAGAAGACTAATCTAGTGATACAGGCTTGGTGCCAGGCTGATGTGGCTGGGGTATTAGAGCCTTTAGGAGGTGGAGCCTGCTGGAATAAAGTTCGGTCACCAGGGTAAGACAGTCTTGCAATGTAGCTCAGGCTGGCCTTCAACTTACAATACTACTACTGTCTCAACATCTCAAGTCCTGACAAGACAGACTTGTTATCACCACACCCACCAAAATCAACATTTCTTCCTCATTTTTTTTTTTTTGGTCGGTTGTGGGGCTTGAACTCTGGCCTGGGCGCAGTCTCTGAGCTCTTCAGCTCAAGGCAAGTGCTCTACAACTACAGAGCCACTTCTGGTTTTCTGGTGGTTAACTGGAGATAAGAGTCTCATTGACTTTCCTGCCTGAGCTGGCTTTAAACCGTGATCCTCCTGAGTAGCTACGATGACAGGTGTGAGCCACCAAGCGCCTGGAAATTTATTTTTTAAATTTTCTTTGGTGCTGGTCCTGGGGCTTGAACTTAGGGCACTGTCCCTGAGCATTTTTGGCTCAAGGGTAGTGTTCTACTACTTAAGCCACAGTTCCACTTTCAGCTTTTTTGGTGGTTAATTGGAAATAATATGGAACTGTCCTGCCCAGGCTGGCTTCAAACCACAATCCTCAGATCTCAGCCTTCTGAGTAGCTAGGATTTTGGTGTGAACAACCAGTGCCAGGCTTTGTAAATTGCTTATCTCACATAGTCTATAACAGTGGCTCAAAGCTGATTAACAGACACACTAGCACAGAATATTTTAGCACATGAATATATTCTAGAATGAAAATGAAAAAACAAAAAAGACACTAAGAATAGTAGTTTATATTTTTACAAATTGGTTTGACAGAAGACAGCTGGGTTCTCATTTCTGCTTCTACATTTGGTCTCATGTTATTAAATGTCATACCACAGAAAACTACTGTACATTTGCAAGAGAGTAAAACTAAAAGTGTCTCAATATTTCTAGGAGAGTAAGTCTGACCTAAAAAAATGTGCTCAAAGGCCTCCGGAACCCCGCTCCTGAAAAACAGTGGTGTTACAGAAGGGCCTGCAGAGGTGGCACACCTAAGAATAACAACACATCACAACTTTCTGGTTGACAGGCCCTGACCAGTCATTGCTTCATCTGATATTAGTTTTCCCACTAAAGCTAGACACATAACATCTGTACACTCTTCGAAGGAGCGTGAGTGATAGTGCAGAACCCAGCACAGAAGCTCAACAGCAAGCTATTATTGTAATCATGTTTTCATTGTTCACCCACCTTCTGATGTTTGCCCTTACCTATTTATGTAAGCAGCCAACTGTTTTGGAGATTTCTTAACCTGAAAAATGAAAATAGTTGTAGGACGTTATGTTCTTTAGTACGGCTATAGAAACCTTATGATTGACGTTAACAAATTTAAAATGGCTATTTTTTGCTGGTCCTGAGACTTGAATTCAGGGCTTCATGATCATTTGGCTTTCCTGCTCCTTGCTGGCATTCTACCACTTGAGCCATGCCTCCGCCTGGCTTTTTGCTGGTTAATTAGAGATGAAGGCTTGAAGACTTTTCTGTCTGAGCTGGCTTTGAACCTCAATCATTCCTCCTTCAGATCTTAGCCTCCTGCAAAGCTAGGATTACAGAGCCATTGGTGAAGCTGGGTACTAGTGGCTCAAGCCTGTAATCCTACTCAGGAGGCTGAGATCTGAGGATCAAGTTTGAAGCCAGTCCAAGCAGGAAAATCTGTGAGACTCTTATCTCCACTAAAGTACCAAAAAAGCCAGAAGTGAAGTTATGGCTCAAAGTGACAGAGTTAGCATTGAGCAAAAGAAACTTAGGGACAGTGCCCAGGTCCTGAGTTCAAGCCCCAGGACAAGCAGACATGCACACAAAAAAAGTTTTTTCTCAATCCTGGCTACTCAGAAGGCTGAGATAGGAGGATCAAGATTAAAAGCCAGTCAGGTAGAAAAGACCATGAGACCTGTAATTAAATTACCTTTCCAATTAAACACCAAAAAGCCAGAAGTAGAGCTGTGGCTCAAGTAGTAGAGAACTAGAGAACTTGAGCAAAAAAAAAAAAAAAAGTCATGGAAGCCAGGCGTGGTGGCTCACACCTGTAATCCTAACTACTCTGGAGGCTGGGAGCTGAGGATCACAGTACCAAGCCAGACTGAGTAGGAAATTCCATGAGACTCTTTTTAAATTTCTTTTTCTTTTTTTTTTGTTGGTCGGTCGTGGGGCTTTAACTCTGGGCCTGGGCGCTGTCCCCGCGCTCTTCAGCTCAGCACTCTACCACTTAAGGCACAGTGCCACTTCCGGTTTTCATTTTCGAGTGCTTTATTGGAGATAAGAGTTTCATAGACTTTCCTGCCTGGGCTGGCTTTGAACCGCAATTCTCAGATCTCAGCCTCCTGAGTAGCTAGAATTACAGGCGTGAGCCACCAGTGCCGGCTCCATGAGACTTTCTTATCTCCAATTAATCACCTGAAAACTGGTCTCTTTTTTAGGCCAGTCCTGGAGCTTGAATTCAGGACCTGGACACTGTCCTGGAGCCTCTTTGTACTCAAGCCTAGCGCTCTAACACTTGGGCCGCAGCTCCACTACTGTCTTTTTTCTGAGTACTTTATTGGAGATACGAGTCTCAGGCTTTTTCTGCCTGGGCTGGCTTCAAATGGCAATCCTCAGATCTCAGCCTCCTGAGTAGCTAGGATGATAGGCATAGTCCTTAGCACCCAGCTTTGAAAACCAGAAGTGGAGCTGTGGCTGAAAGTAATAGAGCATCAGCAAAAATGATGAGGGGCAGGGCCCAGGCCACCAGTTCAAGCCCCATGACCAACAAAACACACACACACACTCTCTCTCTCTCTCTCTCAAAGAAAGCACCCAGACCCTGAGTTCAAGCCCAAGGGCCAGCAACAAAAAAAGTATTCTCTCCTAATGCTGTGGTCTCAACCATTAGATACAACAACCCATATCTACTCCCTATTTTTCACACTACTAGTCATAAATTTATATTTGCATAAGAGAATTGAGGGGGCGGTTGCTGATGGCTCACGCCTGTCTGTAATCCTAGCTACTAAGGACACTGATATCTGAGGATCGCAGTTCAAAGCCAGCCCAGGGCAGGAAAAGTCTGTGAGACTCTACTCTCCAATAAACCACCAGAAAACTGGAAGTGGCACTGTGGCTCAAGTGATAGGGTGCTTGCCTTAAGCTAAAGAGCTCAGGGATAGTGCCTAGGCCCAGAGTTCAAGCTTCACTATCAACAAAAAAAAAAAGAGGAGAGAGAATTGAAGGTTAGCATAAAGAATATTACATATCTGTGCTAATGAATGAATAAAAAGCAATAGCGGGGTTGGGGGAGGAGTTTGAGGGAAGGCATCTCAGAAACTAAAATATTTAAACTTCAACTTGTCAAAATAGTACCTGGGCCAAAAAAGAATATAATGGTTATACTTCATCACTACTTTTACTTAACATGGAAAGTAAGCAGAATTATTAAACATTATTTAAGCAATTTGCCAGATTGACACAGGCTTGGCTATTAATGGAATCTTATTCCTTACCTAAAAGCATGAACTTACCTCCTTCATGTTCTTATTAGTGAAACTGGAGTTCCTTTTTCTAGGAAGATCAATGGGATGACCCTCAATATTACAAAAATTTCGTTTTTTAACATTGTGGGTTTCAGATGCCATAATCCTTTAAATACCTAAACAAAATAAAAATATAATACACAAAAAGCAAAAGAGCATGATCATTTCTTTTTTTTTTTTTAATTTAATTTTATTTTATTTGAGAACAAACTGTACAGAGGGGTTACAATTACATGGGCAGGATAATGCATATATTTCTTACCAAGCATTGCAGCCTCCTCCTTTGTTTACCCTTCACCTCCCTTCCCAGCCTCCCCCCTCCCCCCCACCCAATCCTCCCCCCCAAACATTTTTTTTTTTTGGGGTCCAGTCATGGGGCCTGAACTCTGGGTCTGGGCGCTATCCCTCAGCTCTTCAGCTCAAGGCTAGCGCTCTACCACTTGAGCCACAGCGCCACTTCCAGCTTTTTTTTTTTTTCATTTTGCTTATGTGGTGCTGAGGAATCGAACCCAGGGCCTCAGGCATGCAAGGCAAGGGCTCTACCACTGAGCCATCTTCCCAGCTCCCATGATCATTTCTTTAATGCACATATAAACATGTATCACTGGTTCTACTGGTTCTATACTGTGCAAAAGAGGCTTAGAAATACAGCAACTGACACAGTTCCGCCGAGGAAGCATATGGCAAGGCATTCTAGGAAAACAGGGTTCTTATTCTTTAGTTGCAACCAGCTACAATAACATTACATATTTCTGTCAACACAACAGATCAATCTCCCATTTTCCATATCACCAGTCATTCCTGGTTTATTAGACTGGAATTCAAGTCTATAAAAGTAGTGGTATCTCTCATATCTTAATGTGCAAAAGCCTAAACTTTGGAAACACATGACCAAGAAAAAAAGAGAAAGAAAAGAGCCCTAGGCAGCCAAAGGAGCCGAAATCAGACTATGTAGATCTCATTTGTCCTATATGTCTAACCCTTAAACTTCTTTCCTACTCTGGGTTTCCAAAGCTGCTCTCCTTCCCCTCTCTGCCCCTGACTAACCCCCAGCATATAAAGTTACAATCTCTCCACATCCTTGCCAACATTTAAAACTACCATATCCATCCTAACAAGTGCGAAGTCATATCTCATGGTTTGCTTCTCCACGATCACTAATGAACATGGAATATTTTATATCTTTAGCTCACTCTGAGCCACATCCCCAGCCTGGAAGCAGTGTTTCTGATACTCTTCTGCAAGCACCGCTCCCATGTGGGTGGGGTCAGGCTTGGCTTTCTCAATCCTGTTACTCCTCTGTGTAACAAGATCCAAGCCTCATTATTAAACTAAGTACTGCAGACACCACAGCACTTCGTCTGGGAGCTGAATTCAGAAAGAAATCCATATTCCCAGGCCCTAAGATTGTTCTAGAAAAATCCCATTTTCGCCTTCTCTTTCCTCTTCCCTTCATAAACATTCTTGGCTTTCATTTTTTGGGTGGCAGCTGCCTGCTGGGACTTGTCTTTAAGTCCTCTCAATCTCCTGGAGGACCTTAGAGAAACAGATTGTCCAAAGGAAGTGAGGAAGACCTGGGAGATGGGTTATTGCTTATCTTCATCTATCCATCTGTCTCCACTTTCCCAGAAAGTCAGTACTCATCTCAGAGGCTTTAAACAAGCGTCAGGATATGCTTTTCAACCAGAGATGGGGTTGAAAATGAACTGATAAATTCAGAGAGTCTATGTCTTGTGCTCTGCCACTATACCTACATGAGTTGTTTGATATCCTAGGGTTAAATTAAAAAGATGCTGATGCCTTCAACTGTAAAACTCCTATATTTCTTATTTTATTATAATAGCAGTTATTTTTTAAAAAAATGCTCAGTGAAATAAAAAGCTAAATACAAGCGGGGTGCTGCTGGCTCATGGCTGAAACTCTAGCTAATGAGGAGGTTGAGATCTGAGCATCATGGTTCAAAGCCCAAGTAGTAGTTATGTGAGACTCTTTTTTCTAGTTAACCACCAAAAAGCCACAAGTGGTGCCCCCCCTGCTAATACAATCTAACCAGTCCATACACTGTAGTATACTAATATAAAAAGAAGCTTAAACTGACTTGATCTTGAGCTATAACTTATGGTATTAGACACAGAAGTCCAGACATGTTTCATTCCTGTATGATGAGTAACTCCTTACTGTGAATACTTAAGGAGTACCTAATACTGAGAGCTGTTTAATCACTTGATTTGGCAGACATCATAATAGATTGTATGAATAGATCTCTTTTTCCTTTCTAGCAGGAGATAGTATGTAAAGAGAATTTATCCTTCCAGATCTATTATATAGTCTGCTCTTTTTTTCTAAAATAAATAAATAAGTTACAAGTGTACTCATGTTATTTTAGGAAAAGGTACACTATGGTAACAGGTGAAGTTAGCATACCTGCCCCTGCTTAGTCTCCTAAATCCCTGCTTTTATCTTCTTAGCATCTTATTCACTTCATTATTCATTCAGCCCTGGCAGGAAAATCTGAGGCTCTTACCTCCAACTGACTACCAAAAAGCCAGAAATGGAGCTGTAACTCAAAGTGGTACAGGGCTAGCTTTGAGCATAAAAGATCAGGAATGGCACCCAGGCCCCGAGTTCAAGCCCCAGCACTGGCATGTGCAATGCGTGCATACATGCATATGCATACATATACACACACACACAGAGTATTCTGAAATATATGCATACACACACACACACACACACACACACACACACACACACACACACACACACACACAGAGTATTCTGAAATATTGTTTTGAAAAGTGGGAAGCTTTAAACAATGGTGTTTTAAAACATAGGATATGGGGTTAGAGGAACTTCAATAGAAGAGAGCTTGCCAAACATATGCTAAGCCTGGAGTTTATCCAGCACTACAAAACTAAATATATAAGCAAATAAAGCACAGGCCAGGAAACTCAATGCATGGTATAATCCTGGTTTTTCAAACAAAGTTATGCACAACATCTATCCATTCAAAAAAACCCCCACAAAACCCAGCTATTAGCACCCCCCCCCCCCCATGCAGAGGAAACAAAAGCAAACATAGTCAAACAAGATTATAACCAAAGAAAAAGCACATGAACAAGCAAAAGAAACATTCTTCAGAGTGAATGGGAGAAAATATTTACAAGCTCAAAAAGTTAAAAATGGGCTGGGCCCAATGGTACATGCCAGTGACCCAGTATATTTAAGACTTAGGCAAAACAACCCTAACTTCAAGGACAGCTTCCCCCACATAGTAAGTTCAAGGCTAGCCTAAGCTAAATTGGCTCAAGTGGTAGAGTGCTAGCCTTGAGTAAAAGAACCTCAGGGACAGTGGTCAGGCCCTGAGTTCAAGCCCAAGACTGGCCAAAAAAAAACAAAACAAAACAAAAAAACACTAAAAAAGAAAATATTAGAGCTATCATATAACCTGGCAACCCCTCTATTTTACTTTTGTTTTTGCAACAAAAAGGACCAAACACAAAACCATGCATCTTGCATCTCTTTTTTTCCCTTGGTTATTAAGCTTCTCTATTTCCTACAGTGAAGACTTTTGGTGCTGGTATCAGGGTTTCATTCTGGCTAGGCAGGTGCTCTACCACTTGTGCCACACCTCCAGCCCTTTTTGCTCTGGGAGGGCCTTGCTTTTTTAAAAGCCTGGGCCAGGTGGACTGTGCTTCTGTGCTCTGAGGCAGTCACTCATGGCCAAACTCAGCCTTCTCTTTTGAATGGGGTCAGCCTGTGACAGCCAGCCTCCCTGTAGCTGGAATGACAGCTGCTACCATCATGTCCAACTACTGGCTGAGATGTAGATCTCTATGGCCTACGCTGGCCTTGAATCAAGATGAATGCCACCTTCCAAGAAGCTAAGATGACAAACTTGAACAGCCATGCTCAGCCAATATTATCTTCAAGTCTGAAGAATATTTCAACTTAACGCCAGCCACAGAAAGTGGCTTAAATGTATAACTCCCTTTACGAAGGGGAAAAAATGGTAGAAATATTAATAATGTTTTAAACAGAGTCTAACTTTTCTTTTTTTTTTTTTTTTGGGGGGGGGGTCAGTTGTGGGGCTTGAACTCTGGGCCTGGGCGCCGTCCCTCAGCTCTTCAGCTCAAGGTAGGCCCTCTACCACATGAGCCACAGTGCCACTTCCAGTTTTCTGGTAGTTAATTGGAGATAAGCGTCTCAAAGACTTTTCCTGCCCGGGCTAGCTTTGAACCATGATCCTCAGATCTCAGCCTCCTGCGCAGCTAGGAGTGAGCCATCAGCGCCCGGCTATTTTAACTTTTCAAAATTAGGACAACTTAATCTAATTCAGTTCTTGCCTTCTCACCTCAATTTAGACTTTGCCCTCTCCCCCCACCCCTTTTTTTTTCTATCTTCAGTTTCTCCCTTTGAACTGATTCTTCGTCTCCTTTTAAACATACTCGGGTTTCTCCTATCAACTCCTATACTCTTTCTGTTTTCTTTTCCTGCCAACTTTCTACAATGAGTGCTTTTTAGCTTCCAATTTATCTTTAACCTTTTGCAAACTTGCTTTATTTTCTGCCATGGTCCTAAGTTCAAGCCCAGTCCCAGCATAAAAAGAAAAACTACATTAAAAAAAGGTAAAAGTCAAGGCTGAATCCCAGACCTTCTCTTCCCGTTACCTACATTCTTTTTTCTTTCTTTAAAAAAAAAAAATCTTGGGCTGGGGAGGTGGCTCAGTGGTAGAGCGCTTGCCTTGCATGCCTGAGGCCCTGGGTTGATTCCTCAGCACCACATAAGCAAAAAGAAAAAAAGGCCGGAAGTGGTGCTGTGGCTCAAGTGGTAGAGCGCTAGCCTTGAGCTGAAAAGCTGAGGGACAGTGCCCAGGCCCAGAGTTCAGGCCCCATGACCAGACCCCCCCCCCCAAAAAAAATCTTTTTTTTGCTAGTCCTAGAGCTTGAACTTAGGGCCTGGGCACTCTCCCTGAACCTCTGTGCTCAAGGCTAGTGCTATACCACTTGAGCCACAGCTTTTTTTTAGTAGTTTACTTCCTGTTTTAGGTGGCTTCAAACCCCAATCCCCAGAGATCAGCCTCCTGAGTAGCTAGGAGTACCGGGCATGAGGCCTG